CCATCCGCTATCTTGACTTGTTCTTGAGACACGCAGTGCTAAACTGAGGGAAATTTGTTCTGTTCAGCGATCGCGCACGTGTGTGTGTGCGTGGGGGAGAGGGGGGGCATACAGCGTATTGGTGTTAGAATTGGGCAACTTGGTAGACGTTTCAAACTTGATACAGCTGCAAATTGATTGATTGATTTGTGGGGTTTAACGTCCCAAAACCACCATATGATTATGAGAGACGCCGTAGTGGAGGGCTCCGGAAATTTTGACCACCTGGGGTTCTTTATTGATTTGTGGGGTTTAACGTCCCAAAACCACCATTTTTGATTATGAGAGACGCCGTAGTGGAGGGCTCCGGAAATTTTGACCACCTGGGGTTCTTTAACGTGCACCCGAATCTGAGTACACGGGCCTACAACATTTCCGCCTCCATCGGAAATGCAGCCGCCACAGCCGGGATTTGGTCCCGCGACCTGCGGGTCAGCAGCCGAGTACCTTAGCCACTAGAACACCGTGGCGGGGCACCTGGGGTTCTTTAACGTGCACCCAAATCTGAGCACACGGGCCTACAACATTTCCGCCTCCATCGGAAATGCAGCCGCCACAGCCGGGATTTGGTCCCGCGACCTGCGGGTCAGCAGCCGAGTACCTTAGCCACTAGAACACCGTGGCGGGGCACCTGGGGTTCTTTAACGTGCACCCAAATCTGAGCACACGGGCCTACAACATTTCCGCCTCCATCGGAAATGCAGCCGCCGCAGCCGGGATTCTAACCCGCGACCTGCGGGTCAGCAGCCGAGTACCTTAGCCACTAGACCACCACGGCGGGGCGATACAGCTGCAAAGGATACCAGTTAACGGCCAATGGGCAAAAAAAGACAGATGTTGGAAAAGGGATCCAGTAGGGATGGAAAAAAGAACGCTGTGTTATGTTTTTTTATCCCAGTCGCAGCGGTGGTCAAGTGCTTCCAATGCGCGAAGTACTATAGACTCGACTCACAGTGCCGCCAGGCACCCACCGGCTTTTATACTGGAGAGAGAGGTACCTTGGCATAGTGCTCGCTGTTGCGAGTATTCATTTCCCGAGAATGTGGCCTCTCGTTTTTGCTCACTTCTTTCAGAGATAGAGAGAGACTCTTTATTAGGAAAAACTTCTTTCACCACCTTCCTTCAACGACGATACGCCTTACTCCCTTAAGGGTTGCATAAATAACAATCTTTCCTTAAACTACTACTACTACTACTACTACTACTACTACTACTACTACTACTACTACTACTACTGCTGCTGCTGCTGCTACTACAGTAAGGTATAACTTGAAATAATGTCAGTTAAATGAACTATTCAGTTGTACGAATTTTTTAAAAATTCCCCGCTGAAGTGGCATTGGACCCAACGCTTACGCATTTCAGTTTAACGAAATTAGTGCAGAAAGCATTTCATTTCTATGAACCTTTTTTTTTGTGTGGGTGTGTGTGACTCCTCCCAATAACTCTCGTCTGAAAGACTGGGTAAAGACAGCGCTTTGTGTTTTGAGGACTGTGTCACCTATGACTCCCACCTTGAAACCTGCATCACTGTGTCTGCAAGGAGATTGTAGCGAGCGTCCTACCTCAGGAATGAGAGAATGAAGAAGTAACCCTTGCAGCCAAAGCAGAGCTTATGTACAGGGAAAAAGTGAGGCCCTTCGCTTCCAAGCAGAGTGCTTTGCCGGAGGTGGTTTTGCGAGAGCTTAGACAGAATGATACAATTCAAGACCTCGTTCTAAGGACAAAAGTGCAGCAACATATCACTACATTTTTTAAAAGAGGCTAAAAAAAAACAGAAATTACATGAAGGGTTCCAATTTCACTTAAACAACAGATTTTTTTTTTTTAGCTTTTGATGGCATGTTGCAACCAATGCCGTAGTCAGGAGGTGGCACAGCGAGCCTGTGCCCCCCATCCCCACTCCCGAAATGTCTTTTTGCCATGGTATACGGAGCGAAAAAAGACCACCTCATGGAGATGCCACTCCGCTCCCCCCCCCCCTTTCTACAAAAAAAAACAATTTTTTTTTTTCAGTTCTGTGAACACTTACTCAAATGAACTTTTCTCTAGTTCGTTCACGTGTAGTTTCACTGTACTTCTACTGCTGCGTTTGGTCCATTGACTATTTCTTTAGATTCCTTGCCGCTGTATCACGTTTGTTTTAAACAGTTAACCGAACCTCATTTTCTAACTCAGTAGAGCGAACGAAACACGCAGTGAAAACATATCGCTTTAATGGCGCTAACACCTCACCAACTGGTGGAAGGCTTCTGCACCTTCGGTTGGCTGTACCGTGGCAACATTGTGACGAAATGAAGTGCACATACCCATGATCTAGAACACTGTACTCACACTTTCTTAATTCTGTTGAACGCGACAATTTTCCGCACACAGAAAGAGCAAGCGAGGAGTGACGTGATAAAAAGGACCGAAATTGGACTCTGTGGGCGGGAAGCTGCAGGCCTGGTCGTCGAGCTCAGCCGCAGTGCTTTATTACGAGTCAGGCGTGGAAGTGGGCTTCGTATCTCTCTCCTTTAAGGAACTATCTTGCGTTTCCAGTCCCTGAATGGCTGCTTTTCTTTTCACGCGCCTATATCCGAGCGCCTGAGCCGATAAGAGCGTGGTAGCCGAAGTGACATTCTCGCATTGTCGTTTGGCTTTCGGGAGAGAAAAAAAATGGGAAACCGCGCGAGAATATAGCTGGTGCCCGTCAGCGCTGTCCGCTTGTACCGATCCCCGAAATCCTGCCGTTTGCCGCCTGCAAGCGATGAGGCTGACCAGTGGCCGCCATAAAGAGAAAAGCGCAGCACCCCGCGACAGCTATAGGCTCTCGCTGAGTGTGGTAAAAGTGATGTCTCTCGCGGCTGAAGGCCTCCGATGCGCTTACCGAATGAGGGCGGCGGAAGATCAGACACAGCGCCATAATCTATAAAGTGTCGGGCGTCGCTCTGCATAGCACTCGGGAAATCGGCTCCCGTATCTCGAACGAGCGTGAAACTCGCCGCAAGAGGTGTGCTTAGTGTGTTGTGAGCGCATCAACAAAAAGCTTCAGCAGGGATCAAGTGTACTTGAGCGTAATAGAATTCTTCGTGACATGTTTGCAATGCTCCGCGTTATGCGCAAATAAGGTTTGTTTCTTGCTCTCTCTTTCTTCGTGACATTTGCGACAATTTTGTCTTTTTAGGGATCAGAGATGTAACATTACTTCTGGTTGCCCCGCCGCGGTGGTCTAGTGCTTAAGGTACTCGGCTGCTGACCCGCTGGTCGCGGGATCGAATCCCGGCTGCGGCGGCTGCATTTCCGATGGAGGCGGAAATGTTGTAGGCCCGTGTGCTCAGATTTGGGCGCACGTTGAAGAACCCCGGGAGGTCGAAATTTCCGGAGCCCTCCACTACGGCGTCTCTCATAATTATGTGGTGGTTTTGGGACGTTAAACCCCACATATCAATCAATCAATCACAGAGGGCGGTGGCGAGCTTTGTGCTGGGTGGAGCGTACTTGCCGCGACGTCGCTACAAGCGCCTCAGAGTGTCGACGGTGCCTATCGCTTTTTGCTAACATGGAATAGGTCTATATAGCCAGGTTATATCGGATCGCGTCCGCGGACAAATCATGCGTAAATCAACTATTTTTTTTTTTCGTCTCTCGCCTCGCAGCGGCGGCACTTCCCGCCAATCTTTGGGCCCTTTTGTCTCGTGACGTTGAGATCGCGCTATAGCGTTGTGACCAGCAGTTGCTGTTTGGACTCACTATGAGACAGAGGAGTGGCGCTCTCACGGAGAGTGGGAGCTCCGACGTGCACAGAAGCGCAAATAGGCGCGAAAACGACGTGAAACCGCTGCCGCTTGCAGAATGTGCAGCCGCTGCGGCCGACTTTAAAGCCCCTCCCTCAACAACACCCCCCTTCCCCACACTAGATTTTGGATGGAAAGGAGTGTTTTGCCAAAATATACAGAAAAGAAGTGTTTTTAATTAATGGTCCAAGGCCTTCGTAAGTGCCTCCCCACGCACCACCGGAAATAAATTCCTAACGTCGGGCCTGCTCTGAATATATGCGCGCGCGCGCGCGCGCGTGTGTGTGTGTGTGTGTGTGTGTGTGTGTGTGTGTGTGTGTGTGTGTGTGTGTGTGTGTGTGTGTGTGTGTGTGTGTGTGTGTGTGTGTGTGTGTGTGTGTGTGTGTGTGTGTGTGGTGTGTGTGTGTGTGTGTGTGTGAGAGAGAGAGAGAGAGAGAGAGAGAGAGAGATGGTTTTGTAATAATCTGTTCATACGAAACACGACCATTAGCGCTGTTATCCTTATACACAGAGCGTGGTACGTCGCACTTTATTTTTATTTTTTACTTTGTGGTCGTAAGCTTGCAGGAAAAGCGCGCAAACGATTAGGTTTCTGTCGGAAGAGGAACGATGACTGGATGCCGCATATGGTACCAGTTTATGCTGATTTTGCGCGTATATGGTTCTACAGTTACGATTTGTTTGGCATTTGAGGCTGCGGCTCCCCGTATAATCTTGATAGTGCAAACTAATTAGTATATTGAATTACATAACTCTGATAACTCGCTTTTCATTTTTGCCCAAAGTATAATTGATCAGGGCGTACTCGCACGAGCAATAACGTAAATCGCGCCATCCGGTTAACTGAACGATGGCGAAGATATTAGAGGAGTTGCAGAGCAGGAAAGCATGAGCATTGGTTGTGTTTTGTCTAAAAAAAAAGAAATTTGACAACGTTTGACACGTTTTCACAGTTGGCTGCAATATTTCATAGCTATTATGGTTAATTCACCGCATTCAGAGCAGGCATGTTCCGTTTAAATGCCCGACGTTAACAGCGAGTTCAACATCGCGTACAAAGATTCAAGACTTCGTGCGGGGAGCTCTGGCGATAATATATCCACTGCCGTTTTCGGCGTACGCGTGCCAGATGGTCCAGAGTTTGCTGCCCGTTACTTTATTGCATTTCTTTTTCTTTTATTACAGAAAGCCAATCTTGGGACGTTGGCGGGTGTTTACTTCCCCTGTATCCAAAACATATTCGGTGTCATCTTCTTCATCCGTCTAGTCTGGATTGTCGGCACAGCCGGCGTCCCTGTCGCCTTCCTCACCGTCTTTATGTGCTGTTGCGTGGTAAGTAGTTTTCCTCCTCTCATCAAGACTGCCTTTGGCGATCTGCCCCCCTTTCTCGTTTTACAGTAACCATTGTCATGATTATTTTTAACACACTCGCACAACGCGCTGTACAGAGCTTGTTAATTTCCTATGTACAGTCACATTATATTTACCCATCTAGCATTGCTTCATCAAATACATATAGCCTACGTGGAGCCCTTTGAAACTCCGTCATCGTCCTTTCCCATTTTCCCATGTTTGGCCGCAAGTTGGCTCTGTAGCAATGCTTCTGTTTCTGCGGCGAAGCCCGCTTGTGACATAAGATGCACCTTCGCTTTGTGATCAGAAAATTATGAGCTTTCAACCCCCAGCGGACTCTTTAAAACGAATCAAGCAGCATACACCTACATTGCTTTTCTTTAAATGGGGCAATAACACTAAACATGCGCTGCATGTTAAACCGGAAGCTTCTCGCAAAAAAAATTATTTCGCATTTGAACCGAAATAAGCCTGACGCATGACGAAATGAAGGGATCTCTGTGCAGCCAATGTGTGCTAGGCAGCTGTAGCTTCGTCTTTGGTGTACTTCTAAGCACTCACCTTGGGGTGCGCAAGCACTAGGGTATGTCGCCACCGGCGTTCGCGATGCGCTCCAAGCAATGCAATGCAAACGCTTGTGGGGCACTGCTGTTGTTTCTATTAATTATCTAAAGTGCCGTATTTTGGTACCTCGAAATCGCTATCTTTGTCGCTGTTGTTAGGCTAATGGCCGACACGTTCTGAAAAAACAAGAAAGATATAGTCATGGGCACAATTTTGTTGTGCATTCTTCTAACAAAAGAAAAACTAATGAATTTTCAGTTTGCGACTGTTGTTAACGTAAGATATTTGTCATTTATTATACACTTTTCTTAAACAATTTTTGTTCTTGATTGAGTGTCTTCTCAGCATATGCACAGTATACTTAATAACTCCAACCTAACTACAATGTCTCCTCTCTAGTACTATTTATAGAAATGGCTGGTTCTTCCATAATTGAGACTTTATGTAAGCATGAAGTGGCCACCAGCAAAGCACATTGGTTGGATATACGAGCCACTATTTTGTGCACGCCCACAAGTGAGCACCCCTCCAAACTTCAGCACACTGCAGTGCACACTGTTCCATATGAGTACTATCATTTCCTGTCACTGTGCAAGACAAATCTCGGTCTCTGCCTGACATATGCAGCCATGAGACGATACCATGCTGGTACACTGCACACAGCGTGGCGTTGTCTCTCAGAAGAGTACAACTTGCGGTACCTGATTGCTAGCCATGCAATTATATATGGCTGCACTTCGTTAATTTGCCAACCACTGGCATATAATAAAGCAAGTGTAGTGCCCTGTGACTGTATTCAGAACATTGCTATAGAAAAATACAGATAGAACTACTGTGGATGAGCAGCTACATCTTCAGTATTAATGTGAAAAAACACTTAGAAATACTTAGAAGCAGTTTTGTGTGTGTGTGTGCGTGCGTGCATGTGTGTGTGTGTGCCTGCACGCACGTGCGCGTGCACATGATTTGTTTGGGTCATAACTGTAACTAGCATATATAATGCACAGTCCTGTATGAAGTATTGGCTGTTTAAGTGGGCACAGTTTAATCTATTGTCTGCTTGCCTGGATGTCTCACTTCGTCCTCACTCTTGTACCCGAATGATGTCATTTGAATGCCTGGTTAATAATGCCTGATTTTGGCTCAAGTCACTTGAAGGCTGTGGACAACAGTAGCTAAATGCAATTCTTGCTAAGAAACTTGTTACTATTGCTAAAAAAGTATATTTTAAAATCTGTTTCCTGGAAAAGGTTCTAGTTGGTATTAAGGCTTGGCGATTCCTTAAACTATCGTACATATCTGTGCTAAATGAAGAACTAGCTTTGCTGTGAAAATGCTGGCACATTTGTTTTTCGTAATTGTTCGGGGTATGTCAAAACGTGCTGCACTGTTTATGAAATGCAATTGAAATGAAAAGATAAAAACATGTTTACGTATAACTCATCATACAATAAAAATGCATTGATAAAATAAGGCAAAGTTGATTTTGAAGATGCTTCCTGTGTTCAACTTATTTGTACACTACAGGATTTTTGTGCCTCTATCTTCAAGTTCCATATTTCTGACACCTCTTTGTATTCTTTTTTCTCTTTTTCAGACGTTTACAACATGCATTTCCTTGAGTGCTATTGCAACCAATGGAATTGTGCCTGGTAATCCTTTCAGTCTCATACCTTCTTTTTTATTTCTAAATTTTTTATATTATTTTTTCGTTATTGATAATAGCCAATTAAAGGCCAGCTTGAACAGAACTTTGCATCAATTAAATTTTTTGTAGTGCTAAAATAGCTACAAAAACTGCTTGAGTGAAATTCTTGCTGGCAAATTATAAATACATGAATCAAGGGCAAGTTGTAAGAATTCACGGTTCGTACCAAAACTGAAACAAGCTGTGCCACCACAGCTTGCAAAATGAGATGTAAAACCTAGACTTTGGCAGGACAGAAAAGGAGAAGCCTCATTCGCCCATACAAATTGTATGTTGCACGCTGCTCTTCCAAGCCACTTTTCATTTACTGTAAGATCAAAATATTAATAAATATAACTATAATAATAAAATCTTTACATACCATTTAAAAGATGGGATGGGTGAACTCCAGTACGGGCCCCGCCAGGGTGGTCTAGTGGCTAAGGCACTCGGCTGCTTGCTGACCCACAGGTCGCGGGATCAAATCCCGGCTGCGGTGGCTGCATTTACAATGGAGGCGGAAATGTTGTAGGCCTGTGTGCTCAGATTCGGGTGCACGTTAAAGAACCCCAGGCGGTCGAAATTTCTGGAGCCCTCCACTACGGTGTCTCTCATAATCATATAGGGGTTTTGGGACATTAAACCTCATATATCTATCGATCATCTACTCCAGTACATTATTAAGGCTTTGATACCACATCTGCTTCATCATTTAACTTAGCACCACATCACTAGGAAAGCAGTCCTTGATTATGGAATAATCTGAATGTTTTTATTTAATGTACGTGTAGTTGCTAATATTAGAGTGATGCTGCAATTCATTTCGAAACATCTGCTGTTCTTTTTTCACAAATTGAGCTTATGTGAGATTTGATTGTAGTTGGCTTTTAAATGTCTTGAAGTCTTTTCATTTTCTTTTAACAGCAGGTTACCGCTGGTGCAAATTGCACCATTATTTGCACCATTATTTGAAGTAATTGAGAATGGGCAGTCATTGCAGTTATAAAAAAACTAGTTATAATTTTCACCATAATGAATATCACAGCAAATTTTCCTGTTGTTTGCATATATAATCACTATGCTTATCTGATGTTGTGTGGAGGACTACTAGGCTTATGTAAGATGTCTACATTTTTTATTGTTAGTGGATCATCTTGTAGTTTTAATAATGCCATATAGGATAAAGACAGAAGCACACATGAAGCACATTATTTGTTTTTTATTTTTTATTTGTTTAATGTCTTCAAGGCAATTTCACAGAGCTTTGTCTGAATTCATGCTAGCCTTGATAAAACAATGATTTTTTTACCATCCATATAGGCAAGGAAACGTTATATTACCTTAGTTTTATTGTGTACATGTAATACTGTATAAATCTTTTCAATTGCAAAACATGTATTCTTCTTGTATCACTCAAGTTATAATTTTGCCATCCTTAACAAGGCATGTGATATTAACCTTCGTTTTCTTAAACTGTGCAGTAATTGGAACATCTTAATTATATTTAAAGTTCTTACGATATTTTTTTTTACACATTGAAGTTAATGGGCATTGAATATACCTTATTCGGATCTTACGTCTCTCTAGATAATGAACTTTGCCCAAACTATTTTATCATTCAAAAACTTTTGAAGTGTTAGCAGATACATTATACATTCTTCCAAATACTATTTTGTGTTATTTTGAGCTGTCTGGGGCATCATAATGTAATGAAACCTCCCAGATTTATAAGATTTTATATTCAAAGTGGGTGCAGTGCTTGCAAAATGAGTGTGAGCAAGCATGTATTTATTACTTTGCTTAGTTTTTTATTTGTGTGTGTGTGATTCTGGAAACTGCTTCCCATATATTCAAAATAACCTCAGTATGAATGGTTTTTCGCAGCGGGTGGTTCCTACTTTATGATCTCACGATCCCTGGGTCCAGAGTTTGGAGGCGCAGTGGGAATTCTCTTCTACCTTGCCACCACTGTGGCAGCAGCCATGTACATTACTGGCGCTGTTGAAATATTTCTGGTAAATACCTTGTACTGCTGTTTTGACTTCTATAGCTGTATATAATTGTAAGGAAGGCTTCTTAAACAAGATGTAGCCTTAGAATAAGAATCGTTTAGCTGCTGGTGCACAGTGAATACCTTCTTAGAACTTTTTCTGGGCTTGTTGTGTTCTGGCCTTCTCATGCTTAACTCCTGGCTTGTAGTGCAAGCTATCTTTTAAAAGCACATGGTTAGATGATTAAACATGATTAGATAAAGGCTTTTAATGTTCTTGCCGATGTATGGCACCAATAAAATATTCAGTTTAAGGGTTAAGTTTGTTTACATCAATTTTATTATACCTGTAATATAGGTATTGTGGTGAAGAACTATTCTGCAAGTCATCTACAGAGTTTGTGAGGGGCAAACAACTTAGTGATACTGTTGGCATCTGTAGTGTGCAGTGCTGGTACAGTTAAACCTGAATATAATGAAATTGACAAATTTCGGAAAATTCTTTGTTAAAAAGATTTCGTCATATGCAGGTTCAGCCTAGAAACTCGAAAAAAAAAATGTGCAAATTAAACAAAAAGCGCACTGAAGGGAGAGCTAACTCAGAACACTTATTTAATGGTAAAAAAACACATTATTATTGCCATAGTAAATATATGGACACTTTCGGCGGGTTTCTGCCGTCGCTACCATGTTCCGTAAGAAGTCCACACTGATAACATTCCCCCGCGCATTGTGGCATTTACGAGCGCGTGAAAGCACCCGAGCGCTGCTGAAGCAGAGATCGAATGAGCAGTCCCTTCTGTATGGTCTGGAGGGCGTATACGATAACATCTCCCTGCGTGTTAGAACTGCCATCGAATGCTCCAACAGAAAGAAAACCACCCGTATTGAATGAGCGTCAAACGTCAAGAAACGCGGTAGGAGGGGGGCGAGATTCGCTCGAGTAGCTACGGTGAACTTTGATTTGAAGGGCGCGGTCGCGATCGCTGGTGCGTGTGCTATATCTCTGAAAGAATCAGTGCCCCTTCAATGCGAAGAAACTGTGTGAAAAGAGCTCTTCTCCCTGGAGCGGTCGTATTTGCTTACACCTGGGTTTTGTAGGAGTTCCGTGATATCAGATCGAAAAGAGTTGACTGCTAGCCTTACCTCGTATAACATTACAATTTATTGCTCTCGCATTCATTGCATTTCATTCAACGCGCCGTTGTGTTGTTGCCAGAGCTTATCGCGAAGGCTACAGTCACTCGAGCTCTCGGCGCAAACGGAAACACGTGACGAGTCGACCTCCGAATATCCGTGGTTGTCACCATAGTCTCAGAAAGTTTCCATCAGCACCTAATCAGACATCCCCTCCTTACCGTTGACACGGTTGTCCGCATTTAAAAGAAAAGCCAAAGCTGAACTTCATTAAGGGCCACACCATGTGCGCGCAGTGAAACCATGCGCGCACGGCGTCGAAAACAGAGAGCGAATGACACGCAAACCGCAGAAAAATATTCTGTAAAGCACCCTTCATATCTAGTGCGGTTAGGGTAGCGTGGTCCCACATATGTGACACTAACTATAAGCATGGCACTGCCAACGCAAAAGTTTTTTTTTTTCAGGCGACTCTCAGTGCCTGGGAGTCGCCTGGGCCGCGAGCGTGCCACCGCCGCTTCACGCTTTGTCGGCAGAAGATGCATGCTCGTGCCAAAATGAGAAAATTTGGGGTGAAATTCCTAGACTATCCAAGGTGAAAATTTGTTATATCAAGACAGAGAGAGAGGGATCGATGAAATTAAAATTCTGGGAGGTTTGTCAGGTTGTCTCCTGCTGTTACCTTGTTACATAGAGGTCGCAAATACATGTGCTTCAATGGAGTAATGGCGTGGAATATAAAAACTTCGTTATATCGAGGAATTCGTTATATTGAGGTTCGTTATAAACAGATTAAATTGTATATCTTTGTTTGACTCTAGCCCATCAATGCATAAGGTGCTGCATGTAACAAAATAAAAAAGGAAAGGTCAGTAGGGCCACAAAAAAATACTGTGTGTAATATACATAACACCTTGTAACAGTTTTGTTTTTTCACTCTTGTTTTCTCAATAAACTTTCCGTTTCGATTTTTGGGCTGGGGAAGAGCACAGGTTAACGAAGTGTCATATGTGTCTCTTCTGCATTTTTTTCCCTTCACAGAATTATCTGGTGCCTGAAATGTCATTGTATGGAGACTTTCGGGAGGATCCAGAGGTTATGTACCACAACTTCCGCACCTACGGCACCATCCTGCTGGTGATGATGACATTTGTCGTGTTCATTGGCGTTGCCTTTGTCTCCAAGCTTGCACCGATCGCCCTCTTCTGTGTCTTAGTCTCCATCACTTCTGTATATGTGGGAGCCTTCGTCAACTATGCCGGAAAGCCAGGTGTTGAGTAAGTCTAAAAAAAAAAGCAGAAAATTTTGGACACTTGCACGACCTTGGAGAATCAAAAACTAAATTAGTGGAAACAGAGTTTGTGACGAAGAGGCTGAACATGTTGTTTTTTTAGCCTTGGAGTGTTTTTCTAGCAAAGGCACACACGTTGCTTCTGTGCAACATTCTTGCTACCCTTTTGTAGCTTCCTCACTGTCTCGACACTGTGGTCTGTACCACTGATGGGCCAACCTCTGTGCTGCTGAGCATGCAACCACTTGCATTTAGCTAATATGCACTATTTAAAGCAGTGAGATAGACAAAAGACATACACAAACTTGCAACAGCTGCAAGTCAGCATTTGTCCTGAATTCATATCTCTTCTATATCTTATAGTATGTGTGCTTGTCAAGCCTGTAAATGTGAACAATATCACCTGGCAACACATTACGTATTAAGGAATACTTGTGAATGATTTAGTCTAAGTGTAGAGTTTGTCCTATGTATAAGTGCAAAGTTTTGACAAAAAATGCTGCCCATTAGCTTAAAAAGAAAATCCACCTAAATTGACTCAAAAAGAGCAAAATGATCTACGACAGTACGATCAAAACTTTCTATGACACCCTCAATGCAACTACAACATTTATATTTAGCTTGTTCTTTCTACTTACTACTTTGCATATTACATTTTATATTCATTCAAACAATAAATATTTTGATACTCATCTATGATGCTCCAAAGCACTTGTAACTTTTAGATGCTTCCAGCTTGTTTCTCTCAAGGCGCACTTTATTTCTACCAAGCTGCATCTGTATATATATCAAATACATCTGAAAAAACACATTTTTGTGTCCACACTGATTTTGAAAGCAGAATAAATAGAAATTAGAACTAATAATATCAAACTATGTGCTTAATTTTTTTTTACAAGCATCTAACTTTTCCAGGCCCCTGAGATTCTGAACTTCTCCAAATTTCATTGGGCCAGCTACATTGCTTCTCTCAAAATGCATTTGGAAGCACATCTTGAAGTATACACTTTTCATCACATGTTGTCACAATAGGGGCCTTCCTGTAAAGTTATACTAAAAGGGTTCACTATGATTCTCATCAGTGTGCACAGTGTCATCATCTCAGTGCATCAATACATATTCACTTCTCATTTCATCAAATTGCCTTTCTTTGAAGGCTTTTTATTTAGGACTGTCAATGCAGGACTGTGCAGCTGTGTTTGCTAGAACATAGAATTTTTTGCTAGCTTTTTATTACATCTTTTAACTGCATCACATGGCTGTTAGTGTCATTTGTAACTCTGTCAAGGTCTTTTGCACTGCTATAAAAATATAACTATGCATTTTATAATTGCAGGATCTGTGTTCTTGGAGATCGCATTTTGAGTGGTGGAGATTACAACTGCACCAAGGATCGTAACGTTTCCAACTCTCTGTGGCACATTTTCTGCAAAGAGAATGAAAACAAAACATCACAGGACGATGACCACATTTGTTACCCTTATTTCGAGGAACACGAGGCGCACACACGAGATGCACTGCCTGGTCTGGCCAGTGGTGTCTTTTTTGGTAAGTTTGTTTTCCCTTACAATCACCGACTTTACTGATGTTTCTACCTGCTTAGCATTAGCTTTTTTTATTTCTTGTCAATATGAATGCTCCCCTGTTATTGTGCACAAGCTTCTTTTATATTTTTGTAGTGTGTTGATTTGTGTAAATTTTTTTACAATATGTAATTGCTCTTTTTTATGGTTGATAAATGCCTTGCAGATGGACACGCACTTCTATGTGCAGCCACTAGTACCTCGCATGTAAATATTATTTGATAATATTATAGTTAATATTCTGCCATTATGAATGTATGCATTCAATCATGGATTATCACCTATATAATATCACAATAATAATGAGAACTAACAGACAATAATGCCAAGAAAAGTGAAGGGGATGATGTTATTAGTGGTAAAAATTTAATTTAATTGTGAAGAAATAAAAGTGGACGGAAAGATAACTTGCCGAAGGGGATCGAACCTGCGACTTTTCAGTAACACGTTCGATGCACTACTACTGAGCTGCGGTGGCAGTCATCCACTTTATGGGCTATGATGACCATAGGATGGCTGCCGTGATAGCTCAGTTGGTAGAGCATCGCACGTGTTATTCAAAGGTCCCTGCCCGCACCACGTTATCTTTTCATCCATTTTACAACAAAGGCTGTTATCAGATCCCAACAAGAGTTGTTGGACTGTAGTTGCCTGATGTCCATAACCACTATCGCATGAACTAAGAAAATAAGTAAATAAAAAAAATCGCCAAGGACAGACTGGGACTCGAGTTCGGGTTTCCTGCATGCCAGCCCAGTATTCTACCGCTGAGCTATGGTGGTGCTTGAAACTTCATTGCAAGCTGATCCTAGGCAGGCTTCATGTCAGGAAAGGAATCGCGTTAACGTGTTTAATAAAGTGTTTTAGAGCAGCAAAGGAATAACCAGACCTCACACAATGCGAATTGCATAACGAGTCGGTCATCGAATGCTCCAACCCGTTACAATAGCATTAGGCATAATTTTTCATGGTTGTCAGCCATAGCATAAAAAAATACACTAAATTTCTTGCAATTGTGTAACGGGTACCATGCTTCCCCAACAAATTGCAAAGAATGGCATAGTGGATGCCTCCATACTACACAAAAATATTATTTATGGCGAAGTGGGTACCCTGCAAATGGCCCTGTAGCAGTTAACAAAAGAATGTATAAAAAAGGCTCTAGAAAGGCTGCTCTTCCAGCTTTCGCTGTGACAGTGCTGCACGTTTCGCGCAGGCCTCGTGGTTTTTTTTTCTTTCTTCAGATTTACATTACTTATAATACTATTAACATCCCCTATACTTTCCTTGTCATTATTGTCTGTCAATTCTCATTAATATTGTGTCTAACAGTGAAAAACGAGCCCTCAAAATTTCCAATCCTTTCTTTCTACATAAAGGCAAGCATTTCTAATATGTTCTCTAACAAGTTTATTACAAGACCTTGAGTGATAAACAAGTACTTTTGCTAAAAGAACTATGTATAGTGTTTTGCGTGTGTAATTGTAGCAACTTCACATTCAAAATACAGGACTCTTTGAATATTAGGGATCATTTAGACCACTAGAATTGCCAATAATTAAATTACTTTAGTTTTTCATGCCATGACATATCATTAATAATGGCAGATTTTGAGAATAGTGTTTCTTCATTTACTTATTTTCACCAATAATAATATAATTTATCCACAATGGCATCAGATGCTGAAATGTTGGGATGCCATAGTGAACAAGAATGAACAAAATTTATTATTTGCATTATCATTGCTGACATAGCAAGATTTGTGGCAAAACTAAGAACATACATAAAGTTATGCCTAAACCGAACACCTAGTTTTCCATAGAACAGTTTGCATATATATTCTCACCCACTTGTGCAGTGCCACTTTCAAACTCTGCATGAGCTGGTAAACTTTCCAAGACACACACAAATCATATACTATATATAACTCTTTGCTATTGTGCAAGTGGCATATCATGAATTTTTGTACAATTTTCTTTACTACAGATAACATTCCTGTCATGTTTAAAGAGAAAGGAGAAGTGATCTCATCATCGGATGATTCTTACTTCCCGTCCAAAAGCGAGTCATACATCCAGATTGTGTGTGATATTACAACTTCTTTCACTTTTCTTGTGGCTATCTTCTTCCCTTCAGTTACTGGTGAGTGACTTCTCAATTGTGTCAATCTAAAGTTTGCTTGCCCTATTCTGGTGCCTAGTGTCAACCAGTTTAGTGCGGTTCCTAGAATAGTCACTTTTGTAGCTAGGAAGTTAGGTAGAATATACTTATATTACCGGTCTTTGGCTCATAGTTGCATATTGTGCTTTTGTTTTTCAGTGTGTGTGGGCAGGGAAGATGTATATAGTACCTGTCTTGTTTTGCAGCCTAGTTTGGAGCAAGTGCAAGAGACATTGAATATAAACTGGCTTTTGACAACTAATTTCCAGACCTCTTTTTTAGCTCACCCTAGCAGCTTAGCATGTAAGATGTGCTGCCAAGCTCAAGGAGACGAGTTCAATTCCTGGCCACGGGGGCCACATTTTGAGGGGTGTGGAATGCAAAGAACCAAGTATAGGCGTTAGTTAAAAAAACCCTGGTGGCCAAACTGATTTGGAGTTCACCACTGCAGCGTGCTTCATAAGCATATTGCAGTCTTGGCACTTGAAACACCAGCTATTATTATTATGTTACGGGGATTTATTCAGGAGCACAGCGACCGGGAAGACAGCAGCAGTAGCAGGCAAAGCGTAGCCAGTGAGCGAACAGCCGAGCGAGCCAGGCGATGGCAATGCGCTTCCGCGCTTCCGCATGTATCCATCTTCTTCCTCACAATAACCCCCGGTATCGAGAGGTAGCCATCCTGGCGGTTTAGAGAGAGGTCAGAGGGTCATAATACGGCTTGAGACGGTTGAGGTGGACTGTTTCTCGCCCCCGACGACGAAGGTCGGAAGATGGCGTAACGGTTCAACCACATAATTAACAGGAGAGGTCTGTGCAACCACACGGTAGGGTCCGTGATACTTCGGAAGCAGCTTAGAAAAAAGGCCGGGAGCAGCAACTGGCGGGACCAAAAGCCACACGAGAGAGTCGACGGTGAAAAGGTCAAGAGGGATGTCGGAGTCGTGACGCTGTTTTTTGGCGACACTGTTGGTCGTAGGTGAAAGAACGGGCCAGTTGTTGGCATTTTTCGGCGTGGTGAGCCACCGCAGACACAGGCTGGTAGTTGTCAACGTCTGGATGATATGGCAGAATCGTATCAATGGTGCTAGTGGGTTCACAGCCGTATAGCAAGAAGAATGGAATGGTGAAAACACGATGGTGGCTTGAGAGGCGGTGTTGTAGGCGAATGTGACAAACAGAAGAACAAGGTCCCAATTGCAGTGGTCTGACGCAACGTACATCGACAACATGTCACCCAGAGTTCGGTTAAATCGTTCCGTTAATCCGTTTGTCTGTGGGTGATATGCGGTAGTGGCGCGGTGAATAATTCTGCATTCGGATAGGAGTGATTGCACTACGTCTGAAAGAAATACACGGCCTTGATCACTGAGCAGTTCACGAGGGGCGTCATGGCGGAGAACAAAGCTGCGTAGAATAAACGAAGAAACGTTCTTGGCTGTTGCGGTAGGTGATGCAGCGATTTCGGCATATCTTGTCAAGTGATCCACGGCAACAACAATCCAGTGGTTGCCAGCACCAGTGCATGGGAGAGGCCCGTACAAGTCAATGCCGACGCGATCAAATGGGTGGGCTGTGCAGGGAAGCGGCTGGAGAGGTGCTGTGAAAAGGTGCGAGACTGGTTTGCATCGTTGACAGGCGAGGCATGAGCGGACGTATTTACAGACGAAGCTGTACATTCTACGCCAATAATAGCGTAGGTGAAGGCGCGTGTACGCCTTGAACACGCCACCAAGGCTACATTGAGGGTCATTGTGGAAAGCGAAGCAGAGATCGCGACGAAGATGGCGGGGCACGACCAATAACCATGTGCGGCCATCGTTCTGGTAGTTACGGCGGTATAAAAGATCATTGCGGATAGCGTAATTCTGCACTTGGCGGCGTAGTGCTCGTGGAGCCGGGGTGGTCAGGGGGCTTGACAAAAAGTTTAGAATTGTGGCGACCCAAGGGTCATTTCGTCGCTCCGAGGCCATGTCTAAGATGTTGAGTGGCGAAATATCGTGATTATGACTAGATGCACTGGCGTCTGAAATGAGTGGGAAGCGTGACAGGGCGTCAGCATCAGAGTGTTGTCGGCCACAACGATATACGACACGGATGTCGTATTCCTGGTGTCGGAGGGCCCACCAAGCAAAGCGGTATGACGGGTTCTTGAGGTTTGACAACCAACACAGAGCAGGGTGGTCTGTTACGACGTCAAAAGGACGACCGTAAAAATAGGGGCGAAATTTCTGTAGAGCCCATATGATGGCCAGGCACTCTTTTTCAGTTACGGTGTAATTGGTCTCAGGTTTTGTGAGTGCACGACCGGCATATGCAACCACGTATTCGGCGTTGGCATCGTCACGTTGTGCGAGCACAGCACCAAGGCCAACACCACTAGCATCAGTGTGAATTTCTGTGCGTGCGCTCAGAGCGAAGTGACACAAAATTGGTCGAGACATAAGCAGGCGTCGAAGTGTTGTAAACACATCGTCACAAGCTTCTAACCAGGTAGATAGTTCGTTGTCGCCTTGGAGGAGTGCATTGAGAGGTGTGATGACAGTAGCGAAATTACAAACAAAGCGCCGAAAATAGGAGCATAAGCCAATGAAGGTCCGCAGTGCTTTCAGATTAGTAGGCTTCGGGAACTCGGATACGGCTCGAAGTTTAGCAGGATCAGGAAGAATGTCTTCTTTGGAGACGACGTGGCCTAATATAGTTAGTTTTCTAGCGGCAAGTAGGCACTTTTTTAAGTTAAGCTAGAGACCAGCATTTCGGACACAGATCAAAACTTGATGCAACCATTGTAGATGGGTCGGAAATCTGGCGCAAAGACGACAATGTCATCCAAATAGCAGAGGCAAGTGTGCCACTTCAAGCCGTGTAAGATGCCATTCATCATGCGTTCAAAGGTGGCGGGTGCGTTACAGAGACCGAATGGCATTACAGTGAACTCTTATAATCCATCTGATGTTACAAACGCGGTTTTCGAGCGGTCAGTCTCAGCCATGGACACTTGCCTGTAGCCAGAGTGGAGATCCAAGGAAGAAAAAAACTCCGCTCCTTGCAAGCAGTCGAGTGCGTCATCAATTCGTGGCAACAGGTACACATCCTTTCGGGTAATCTTGTTAAGTCGGCGATAATCGACGCAAAATCGTATTGTGCCATCTTTCTTCTGAACAAGGACGACGGGTGATGCTCAAGGACTGTTGGAAGTTTGAATGACACCGCGTTTAAGCATGTCTATTCACCTGGTCATTGATAAGGCGCCTCTCACTCGCCGATACTCGGTAAGGACGCTGTCGAATGGGTGCATGGCTTCCGGTGTCGATAGTATGCGAAACAGTCGTTGTGCGGCCGAGTGCCCTTGCTTGGCAGTCAAAAGAGGAAGAGAAATCATATCAAGCTAGCGAGGAAGTTGGTCTCGTTGTGTCTTCGTAAGGTTGCTTGCTATAGCTGGTGTGAAAGATCGTGGTAGTGGCCGAGAAGTTGATGTCTCGAGGGTGGCCATATCAGTGGGGTCATCCATGGTGTCGAATATCGAAGATGACGCCAGTGGCTCGGCTTTGCTGACGGTTTCCCGGCGTCGCAAAGTGATTGGCTCTGGCGATGGATTGGTGATGTACATGACAGAGGCGCCTGAATGGAACTCAAGAACGGCAAATGGCAACGGCAGTGATCGGCGGCAAACTGGAAGTGCAGACGGTCCAAAAAGCACTGAGCCGCCGTCTTCAGAGTCACAAGAGATGGAAAGAACAGTAGACTGGGCAGGCACGATGGTGTCGTCACAGACTGTGATTTTGCGACATGTGTCCTTGTCATTGATGACATCTGTTGAAAATGGGAATAACTCCAGTTCAGCGAGGGCGCAATTGATGATGGCACGATGTGTAGAGAGGAAATCCCACCCTAATATGACATCGTGAGAACAAGATGGCAGCACAATGAATCCGATCACATAAAGAACATCCTGTATGACGACACGGGCTGTGCAGGCACCGGATGGCTCGATGTGCTGCGCGTTGGCTGTACGAAGGAATAGTCCAGAAACAGGCGTCGTGACTTTTTCGATATGGCGGCAAATGCGGGCATCAATCGTTGAAAGGGCAGTGCCGGTGTCAACAAGGGCTAGCGTCCATGTTCCTTCTATAGCGCCATCAATAACGTTTCGGGGAGAAATTTGAGGCTTTATGCATTTCGCCGGAAACACAGTTCTCGCCTCTTGAACTGTGCTACTTAGTTTTCCTGGCGCACAGAGCTCCACCGTCGGTGCATGGTGGAAAGGGAGCGGCGGCGAGGAGGTGAGATGCGAGAGAAGGGTGGGGTCCGGGAGGTAGGACCAGATTCGTAGTCATCTGAATAACTGTGGCACGGTTGTCGTGGCGCATATGTGACCCTTGGTGGACGCACACTGTTGGAGATAGGTGGTGCACGAAATCGACAGTAACGGGCCACATGTCCAACAAGGCCGCAATGAAAACAAATGGCAAATGGGGCAACTGTCTTGCGTGCGCCAAGGGTCGTCGGCTCGTGCGTACTGTACGACTGGGCGGGCGGGCGTCGATACTGGCGGGCGAATAGGCGGACTACGAGGGCTGTAACTTAGTATTACAGGCCTGGAAGTGACTGCGACGTACGTCAGGGGAGCAGCAGTCAGAGCCTGATGGAGCAAAGGCGAGACCTCTTCGGCGACCTGGTCCCTGATGATGTTTTCGAGAAGGGGCGCCAACAAGGAATTTGACTGGTCATGAACAAGCGGTATCAGCGAAAGCTGGCGAGCGACTTCTTCACAAACGAAATCCTTAATTTGTTGCAGCAGAGATTAGTTGTCAGGAGCAACAGCCAATCCCGACATTGAAGTCACTTGTGAATGAGAGGTGCACAGTGACCGGGAAGATAGCAGCAGCAGGCAAAGCGTAGCCAGTGAGTGAACAGCCGAGAGAGCCAGGCGATGGCAATGCGCTTCTACATGTGTCCATCTTTTTCCTCACAATTAATATTATTATCATTATTATTATGCTTTTGTTACAACACACGCTTCAAATTTTATTCAAGTGCATTTGTATGTTATCTCAGCAATAAATGTATCACAGTGAAAAGTTCAATGGCTTATTACTTTTGTTTGAAATTGAATGAAGTGTTTACCTTTTATGTGACATTGTTTTTAAAGTTCATGAGTATTGCTTTCTTTATTAGCTGCAATGTCATAATGAGATTGTATGTGAGTCACACTTATAATCTAGGTACTTGTCTTTTCATTCCTGTAAAGGCATTATGGCTGGTTCAAATCGTTCTGGGGACTTGGCTGATGCTCAAAAATCGATCCCAGTTGGAACCCTGGCTGCACAAATGACTACTTCAATTGTCTGTATCCTTTCACTTTAGTGTTTCCATAGTTTGCAAAGTTTATTGATTATACATTGCAATTCTAAAAGGCTGACATCATCCTTAACATAAGCAAAAGCTTATATTAAGTCACTTTCGCGTTTTCACTGTAAGTGCCATATTTCTCCCATTAAATCATATGAATGATCCCCATAGAGAAAATTGAATGAAACAGTCCAAATTCAGTGCCTATATATATTATTATATCATAACAATGCATTCCAGTGAGCACTCCTATGTTGTTCTGGCAAATGCATATTCTGCCCTTCATACCTGCTGTTGGTTAATTTTGTACACTATTATGTCTGGAAAGCCCACACAGGCCAGCTGCATGCTACAGTTATCACAGTATGTTCTATGCTTGTGGACTCCGAATGGCACACGACAGTATGATGTAACATTTCAACATGTCAACACTAATATGAAAATTTTAGAGTCAAGTTTTGTAGCCCATGACTGAAGTGTGGAGTTAGGTGAGTTTCCATGTCGGTTTTCTTCCATTTAAAAAGAGTGTGTGAGCATGTATAGAAGAACATGGAGTGTTAAGACACTGGATTACTTTACCCATGTTCTATTATCCAGTATAACTGGATAGTGAAGTGACCATTGCTGTTTTTTGTGCTTTGGGTCACAAAACATCGAATCCTCTTACAACATGAAGGCAACAGTTCTTGCAACAGTTCACTGGAGCCATCAGTTGAACTCCCATACCAATATTATAGAGAGCCTAGATTCCACCCCGGCTGTCGCACCTCCACATATTCATTTCTTAAATTTTGAGCATTGGTTTTTGTCGGATACATTGTCTATCAAAGACAAAGGAGGTGCATTGTGTTAGAGCGCACGCTGTATACGTCAGACCAGGCCAAGAAGGGGGAAGGAACTGCTCCTTATTCAAAGAGAATGTGTAACAATGGGTTACAGGAAATGCCTGTCATGCAATCCTCTGTGGCACATCACTGGAAATCGAAATAGATCAGGAGTCGACATGACTCCAAGATTCGCAACATGGAATGGACAACACCACAGTTTCCATCACTTTATGCTTGCCATATTTGGGTTAGATGATAATGGAATGAGTTAATACATGCAGGAAATGTATGTGACTACAAAGGAAATAAGGAAAGCAGACTTTATCCTGCAGAAACCTCTGAGTGTACTGAAGCATGCTTTTAGCATACATTTTTGTGGTAGGGACATACCGCAACACCATGCACCTGACACCGGCACCTGAATTGCATCTACACATCTAAATTTGTATCACATGCCAGAGTGCCTGCTTGAGTATCATTGCTTTTTGATTTCTTCTTTGTACTCCTGTGGAAACTTTGCTGGTTACAATAGTTTTGTGCTATAATAATTACTTTTTCGTCAGTTTTAGATTTTACATGCCGTATGACAATATCAGCTGCTTCTTCATGCCGATTTGGACCAATTTCACTCTATGCGCATATGCAGATATAGAAATTGCAGTAACTTCTGCATAATGAGCAGCCGATTATCAAACCTAGGTAACAAATTTTAAAATGTGCATGTATACATGTGCAAAATAATAAGCTCTATATACCGTGAAATATCGATACAACGAATCTCGAGGAACCACAAAAAATTATTCTTCATTTCCAAAAGTCGTTGTTGTGAAAGTATTAAACATTTGCACAAAAATATGCGTTGTGCTCCGATAAGAGCGAAAAAACTAACACGAGATATTGCAGTACCAGTGTACGTTTATTTGAGCAAGAACGCGATCTATCCTGATGTGGGCAGCTTGACGACTAAAAGACAAACTCATAAGCGTGTGCATCTATCTTATGCACTGCGAAGCAAAATACGATTCTTCACGCTGGTTCGCATGCGCTGTTTCAAAGTCGTCCTCACTCTCATCGCAGTTTTTTTATCAGGACCAATGATGTGGATCTTATCGGTCGTCAGCTGGGCACATGCATACTTCATTGTTGCACTGTGCGTAGTTTTCGAGCGAAGCATGCCCGGGTAATCATTAACGGCTTCATCTCATATGTCACTCGCATCGCATTTTTCACTGTCATAGTATTCCTTTCGTGCTGCTTCTGGAGCTCATCTTGAACATTTATTCACAAACCAAAAGGCTAAAAAATAGCCGTGTAACAAGCATGCAGGTGCCATTGTAAAGCTGCCCGACTAAACCAAAGGCAACGGGCAAAGCCGGACGGGAAAACATGCAGAAAAAACAAGTCCTAGCTGGCACATTGCGGGAAAAGTGTGGAGGCTATAGCCAACTAGAATATACTTTAGTGGCACAACCGGCAGGCCACGGCTACCATAGAGTTTCATACAATAATTATTCCATGATTAATTTTGAAAGTTCACCTCGGCATGGTTTACCACTAAGGGGTCAAGCTTGAGCACTTTTACAGATGAATGTGCCAACTGTGCCATTTGAACCAATTGGTATACAGCCAATTGGCTCAATTGGTTATGTACTGGCCACACCATTTGACCCAATTAGAATTCAGCCAAGTGGTCCCATAGAAATACACTCAACTGGCTCAATTGGTTTTACGCTGCTGCATCATTTGACCCAATAGGCATATATCCAATTGGCTCAATTGGTCCAAATGGCCCAATGGTCTACTAATTCACAATGGGAACCAATTAAAACCAAGTGGAAATTGTGCTATTGGTTCCTATTATTTTTTAGAACTGGGATCAGCACACACCTTTATTAACCTGCATAAGAAATGTATTGTGGTGCATAGCTATGCGCCATCGCAGTCATGCCAGTGCTTAAAAACAGATGGCAAAGCTTGGTGTAGTTTTGTTTTTGTCATCACAGACACCAAAAGACACCAAAATAAAAAAAAGAATGAAACTACAAAGTGAGATGAAGAGTGGTCTTGTTGTTGTTTTGTACTGTGTAATATATCTGCATTATTGCATTTCATGTTTGTTTTCAGTAGCAACGAAGGATGCCTTTTTTGCACTGCTGATGAAAAAAAACTATTTTTAAGATTTGACAAACGTTATTGCTAACTGTAGCCTTACCGACATCAACACTCTTTCACAGCAAGTTCACTTACTGATATTGAAATTCCAAGGTATTATTATTAACTCTTTGAGGCTGCCTAAATAATGTCTGACCAGTTTACTCTTGCATAGACTAGCTCTTGCTGCTACATTCTAAATGAAGGATCTAACACAAGCTAAAAATGCACCAGCCTTGACTGGTTAAAATTCAGGATGAGAATACTAGTAAACACCATCTAGAAGGCTTGCAGCAAATATATTTTTATTTGATGCTGCAGTCACAACTGTTGAACAATGGTAGGCAACATTTATGAACACACAGAAAATTAGCCTCCTGAATAATGGGATAAAATCACTGTACATGTTCTCTCTGTATCAGTCTCATGTAGTAAAACTTTTAATGCAGAGTTCAAGCAATACCAGACTTGTCATCTTGCAGATGGTTTTGAATGATTGAGGTGTTAATTGCATGCATTGACTATTCATAAGTTTGGTTAATTCTGAAGTACCAGCTTATTTCAAATGAAAGGGAAAATCTCAATCCATTTATAGCAATAAATTGAACATGAGGGCCAAGCTTGCATATAACCTGTCAATATTCTCAGTTTTCTGTGCACTACTACTGCGACTGCCTCGTGGTGAAAGTTGTGGAAACAAGGAGCTTATTTACCCTTAGCATCTCCCATAAATTTACACCCTGTTATTTTAATAAGGAATATCTTAAATGGCAGCTTGCCACATTTCACACAGCTTGTCTTGAGGTAAGCCCGAGTTCTGTCACACTTGCTTCTAATTAGGCCATGCATGTTGGATAAAGGGCACTTGACAGAATTTTTTTAGTCTGGTTTGTTACAAAATTTATTGGTGAAAGGGTGTAAAAAGCCCATAGAAGCATAAGAGCAAAAGAGACAATGTAACCAGCCACAACAAGCTGGTATACAGATGGTGCATTTGCATGCGAGCCAATGTGCCTTGATAAATAACAGGTCACAATTAAGAAGCTTGTTTTCCTTGACGATACGTGTGCAGACATTTCTGGGGTGTTTCTTTTTGGTGCAGCATTTGACAACCTTTTCCTGAGAGACAAGTAAGTTCAGCATTACCTTCATAGCACTTCATTCTTTCTATTTTGTGTCTCACAAATTTCTTAATTTTTCTGTCAGTCACAATGAAAGCCAAAACAGTACTATATGCTTAGTATATAACAATCTCCGCTTCTACTTTTTTATACACTGTGTTTGTTTTTTTCTAGCTATGCTTTGGAAAATAGGTTTCATTAAACATTACAGTTCAATATGTATCTTTCTTAGATTCTTTGAAAATCTCAACATTATCAACAGTTCTGCCTCCCTCTTATTTTGTATTGGGTGCAATTTCGTTCATCCTTTCTTGTAAAACAAGTTGTGTTGTTTAATATGACACAAAATGTTGCTTTTTTATGTTGCAATCAAAGCCAGCAGTGTTTATCAGGGCAATATAAAGCCTGGAAACTCCGATGCTGTATGCTATTGTTGTGTTTGGTATGCCAATCTAGTTAAAAAGCTTTAATATAGGTGCACTCATGTTTTCAAGGAATTTTACTTGCCTTGTTTTCAAAGAAGTCTGTGTAGCATACACCTTGTGCTTGCAGGTTTGGAGAGAGCATAGGAGGTGGCTTAGGAGTAGCCCAGCTGGCCTGGCCTCATCCACTGCTGGTGGTGTTGGGATCACTGCTGTCTACGATTGGAGCTGGACTGCAGTCTCTTACTGGTATGCACACAGCCTTCTCACAACAGATGGAAAATCTAATGTTAGATCAAGAAGGTTATAGAATACAGTTCAGTTCACCTGTTCTGTAATAGAGATATCTGGGCTCGGAAAAAGATAAAAAAGTTCCACAGAAACGTTAATGGAGTGTCTGAGGCATAAGCATTTGGCCACTTTCTCATATTCCTTTATTTTGCCTCTTGCCATTTGCTCATTGATGATGCCGCTGTTGTGTTTTATCATTCCTGACTTCATTTTTTTGCTAAAGCAGTGTTATGTATGCATAGAGATGAGGAAGTGGCCAACTGCTCATGCATACTCCTCTGTGCCTCCATATCCTTTTTTCGTTGTAGTTCTGTTATCGAACCTTATGCAGCTTTTGCGTATGTATACTTCACCTGTTAACGAAGCATGTTGAGGTTACTTGCTTCCTAGGATCAGTTAGGATCTATTATGAATATAATTGATTGATTGATATGTGGGGTTTCACCTCCCAAAACCACCATATGATTATAAGAGAGGCCGTAGTAGAAGGCTCTGGAAATTTCGACCATCTGGGGTTCTTTAACGTGCACCCAGATCTGAGCACATGGGCCTACAACATTTCCGCCTCCATCAGAAATACAGCCGCCGCAGCCGGGAGTCGAACCCGCGACCTGCGGGTCAGCAGCCGAGATTATGAACATAATTCTTCTGGATTTTGTATGACAGGGCACAGTGTTACTACAGTCACTGTTTTGCACCTTGTAATTTGTTAATACTTTTTATTTGTACCCTACTTGCTACAGTGTATAAACATAGACTTGTGCTTTTGTAAAAAATGTGAGAGGGAATCTACAATGCATTCATTACTATTTGTTGACACAGGTGCACCACGTCTGCTTCAAGCCATTGCCAAAGATGGTGTTATTCCTGTACTCAATGTCTTTGCGGTCAGCTCCTCGAGGGGCGAGCCAGTGCGAGCCTTGCTTCTCACTGCGTTCATCTCGGAGCTGGGCATCCTCATTGGCAACCTTGATCACATTGCCCCCATCCTCACTATGTAAGCTACTAAGATAGAAGAAAAACTGCTATTCATAGACAGTTTCAAATGAACAGGCTATATAGTCTCACTGGTTTAGAGCATTTTAATCGAGCAGGTACATTTCGTTTGATCATTTATTAGAATAGTTTATTTTACTTTTTGCATTCAATTAATTTCTTCTGGCATGTTTTGTGTGTGTTTTTTTCTAGAGTCAACAGGAGGAGTATAAAAACTTGTGGTGTTTGACATTAAGTCTGCATATTGTGCTTACTTTTTAGGGACACCTAGTGTAGAGTTCAGGAATAATTTTTGCCTCGTATAGTTCATTAATGTGTGCCTAAATTAAATTATATGAGCAATTTCGCATTTCACCCCCATCAGCATACAACTGCCATGGCCAGGAGTTGAATGCTCATTTTGTACTGAACCACAGAGCCTCTGAGCACTCAGTGTCGCTGCTGAGTGACTTCACTGTGTAAAGGTGGGAGCTTAGGAGTACTCGAAGTTCTTTGAATAAAATATTTCTTGATTTATCTTTTTCAAAACACTGTGAAAGGAATGAAAAGTGACAGACTGAAGGATACAGGACAGATGCTGACTGTCAACTGTGCCATGTGCTTCTCTACATTTTCTTTTATTTCTCTTGCCTTTTTAAATTAAGAAAACTAATGCAAGTCTCTGCTTTGCTACTAATATTTCTGAGCATTTTATTCAAGTTTGGTTGAATAATTGAAGTTTCACAGCTTTACGTAATTTCTTGTAGCTGAGAGTGCTAATTAGCAGATTTATTGAGCCATGCAATCTCATTTATGTGTCAATAACTAGTCCGTTGTTTCCAACTATTGCCAATACAGCCGTAAATATTTCCACCCTCTCTTTTTGAGTCAAGAGTATTCTGGGTACACGATTTTATAGTAGATGAAACTTGTTGTTCTTTTATTTCCCATAGATACCTGTTGTGAGCTAATACATTTCAATTTTTTGTGTTTGTGCATCAAACTTTACCCTTATTAACACTAGATGTATGCCTATTTTGTGAATATAAGCTTCAAGTTACATGTACGACTATATTTTGTAGGGGGCAGCATGTCCTTGTAAATATCACAGACCTGTTCTCACATAATTTCATTACCTTCCGGTCACGATGACATTCCCTGTATTGTTTGCTTTTATAAACTCCTAACACTAGCACCCATTCATTGTGTGCTATAGCTCCACCTTTATTTCTCTACTATTCAGAATGACAGGAAATTCATCATCATGGTCAATTATTCTACCGCTTAAGACCCTTTTTAGGGTATTATATAAAAGGGGGGGTACAAAAACATCAATAACAGCATGGTCATTATTATGCAATGCTAGAAAAAAAGGAAAATGCTTGCAAAAATACAAAATACATGATTTACTGTCAAAAGCAAAGCAAGGACAGTGCAATAGGCAGAACAAATGGTATAAATCTCATTAAAAGAAGAATAGTTCATGAAATAACATTGTGATGTTGGCAGATTATGTGCTGAAAAAACATGAAAGTATATGCCTAAATTTATTGGAATCTTGCTCATTTACTATTTGTTCGGGCAAATAGTAAATAGCTCAATAGCAGTTGGTAGGAAGAATTTGTTGAATGCTAAAATGTTACCATGTAAGCGTTGAACACTGAGGTTATTAAACAGTGTGATGTGTGGTTGGGCGAAAGAATAATAGTGTCTCTGAGGTGAGTGAATTTATAATACAGTTTGTAAAAAAGGCAAAGTTGTGAAATCTTATGGCGAATAGATATACTAGGTATCCTGAGGGAAAATTTGATATTTGAGGAAGTATCACTTCCTGAGGGAAGTGATACTAGTGTGCTAGTCATAGTTTGAAGTAATAAAATGTAATCTGTAATAAACTGAGGTATACTCAAGTTTTGTCCAAATGAATGTTTTATAAGCAAGATTGCAGGCAGGAATTGAGGATAGAAAGAGGGATCGCTTGATTAGGCCAAGCGATTTGGAGCAGTCTTTTATAATGTTTGTTACGTGTGAAGTCCGTGAGAGTTAATCGGTGATTTTAACTTCATGGTAATAGTAACAGTCTACTTGGCTGAGCACTGAAGCTTTGAGAGTACTTTCTACTTGGCATCAAATTTCATAATAATAGTATTTCTTATTTAACATGTGCGCTTAGGTTAACATGAAAGTTCCTATAGATATCTACATCACTTTTATGCTAGTGCTTAGCATTCTGGAACGCCAGCGGCCGAAAGCGGCGCTCCCACGGGTTTGACGCGAGTAGGTTGCTGCTTTAGGATGTCCGAACATGCTAGTGTCTCGCTTTAATTCTCCTACATATTCTCCCTTTATGCCGGATCGTCAATAAAGTTGTTGCACTCACTCACACATGCTAGTGAGTCATGCTAACAGTTAAATATTTAATAGGGGTGTGTGAATATTCAAAATTTCGAATGTTTTTAGAATAATGTTTGCTATTTAATTTGATTTGCACTGGAATTTTGGATATTCGAACTTCCCAAAGTCAAATGCAGTCAACATTCAAATAAAGGTGGCCCCTTCAGATTTTTAATACGCTTCCTCTCATTACAGTTTAGTACTGCGGCAAAGCTGCTCTTAAGTTCTACTATGGTCGCAAATATATTGACTCGAAAAATCGCTGGTACCAACAAGGAGATAATAAATGTGGCAGAGGTTCAGGCTCAAATAATGCCATTTTGAACCTGAAACTTGGGCAGGAAGTCCGAAAAGTGGAACGTAGAAGACTTTTAGTGTTCAAAATTTCATACGTTTTTATTAGGTTTGTGCGAGTATTTAAATGCTTTGAATATTCGAACGAATATTACTGTAGTTGAATTCGCTTCGATTCGAAGTTAAATTGTTGAAAAGTTTCAAGTATTCGAAATGAACAAATAGGTGTATATTGATTTGCATGTTATCTTTGTAAAAGTGGTTTCACTTCAGTGGAGGAGTGCTAAATTGTGAAAACATCTATTTAGAAAAAATTTGCACTGCCACGAAGCTTCACTTCAAGGTTAAATAAACATATTAGCCTCACATAAATTTATTATTATTTTTTTAAGTTTAAAGCTTGTTATACCGATTATATGCTGTAAATATAGTAAATAATAAACATTAAAGTGTAACATATTTTACAGGTTATAACGTGCATTCTACCGAAAGTCAAATCCTGCAAATATTCAAAATGTGTCCACTTTGGTTGAAGCAAAATGAATGGTTTTTGCACACGCCTTGTTTCAATATTTAAAAACTACAGTGCAGATCAGTTGGGTCAAGACAATTGTGCCCATTTTTCTTTATAGTATGTGATATAAACTATTCAAATTTGTGTCAAAATTATTCAACCAAAATCACTATTTGCTTTCAATGTATTTCTAACCTAAAATTCACTATTCTTACAAGCTTAGTTCTTATATATTGACAACTGCGGACTCGAATATAGCACATTCTTGTCCACCACATTAGTTGGGCATCCACAAAAGTTGAAAGAGAAGAAGATTGAGGCTGAAGAAATAGCGTTTTTGCCTTTCACATGTAAAGTGTTGTTTGCAACAGTTTGGTTGTACCAAACCATGAACATAAATACAATTTGGCCTCCGCATTACTTTATTCTTGATAACACAACTATGAAACACCACCGCGCCAGCACCTTATCAACCTAGCCAAGAGAAACACTTCCATGTTGCTATCTTAGAAAAATATACAATTTGGCCTCCACATTACCCTATTCTTGATAACACAACTATGAAACACCACCCTGCCAGCACCTTATGAACCTAGCCAAGAGAAACTCTTTCATGTTACTATCTTACAAGAATATGCTTAGGAATCCTCTCTGAAGTTTTTTCCTACAATTTCACTTTAAAGTATTCAAAAACATTCTATAAATATTCAGAAATATTCGAAAAAATATCCACTTCATTTTTCACTCACACTTCAATATTCAAATGCACTTCACATCCCAAATTTTGCTATTCACACAGTTCTAATATTTAAATTTTACTGCCATGCATTGCAATAGCTTGTGAGTTAGAGTAAATTTGAAAAGTTTGTTCATTAATTGTTTTTGACAGGCTAATAAAGCCTACCTGGTGATAGTGATAGCATCACAATAAAGCATTGTCATGCATGAGAAGCTGTCTCTACAGATTCCTTTTTTTTTTCAGGTTCTTCCTGATGTGTTACATGTTTGTAAACTTGGCCTGCACTCTGCAGAGTCTTCTCAAGACACCGAATTGGAGGCCACGTTTTAAGTACTACCACTGGTAAGTACCAACAGAGGTAATGTGATCATAGGGGTACCCTGGCATGTCATTGCTTTTTACCTACCATTTTATAAAAACACATATTGTGCCTGATGCTCTCATTAAAATGAACATTAAGTAATCATAACATTGGGCAATCCGTTATATTGGCTATTCAACTGAACTAAGTTCATTGAATTTGTGTAAACACGAAGTTTGTGACACTGTTCAACTTGCTAGACAAAGCAGTTGTATGGGTGCCCCGCGTTACCACATGAAATCGCTTTTTAAGAAACTTCTGTAATAGAAGTGATGCCAGTGAAGGAGCGCTTTATAATAAGAAATTTTGGCTCACCTACGCTATTGTGGAATTGTACCTCTGACTTGTTGGCTGTAGAGCACAGAATCCTGATTTTTTGAACGTTATATGCCATGAACACATTCAAGCTCTTCGAAATAAACTCATACATGCTCTCCCTCTGCCCCATTATGCTCTCCATGAGGTTGCCGCTGCCACCTAGGAGTATTCCAGTGAAGTTTTATGGTGTTTTATTTTAACAGCGGTATTGCTTAAGCTGAGCATTGCTCTGTCGCAGGTGAACAGAAATGTCCTCTTCATCTTCTGCTTTGCTCCCTGAACACATGCGGTAATGAATCCAGTGTCCCACTCTGGGTTAGTTAACTCTTATGGATATAACTCTTATGGATGAGAGATTGAGTGCAGAGTGAGAGAAAAAAAGAAAGAGAAAAGTTCTTGATGCAAAATTTTCTTGGCTAGGTTGTATCTAAACTCGCTTATCCACGATCTGAAGGCGAGTGTCATAACCACTCTGCTATTCAGGCATGCTAGCAGAGCATAGCATAGCCTTGTATAGTATAGTAGAGCAAAGGGGTGGGCAAGGGAAGTGTTGAAGGGGGAAATGAGGATGGGAGAGAGTAAAGCATAGTATAGAAAGAATGAGAAATAAATAGACTGAAATAACGGCTGGAAGACAGAACTAAAGTAAGAGAGAGAGAACAGATGGAAAGGAAGAGGAAACAAGTGATAAATTGAAAGAAAGATAAAAATGCCGATAAAGATAGAAAGAAATAGGAACAGGCAAATAGAAGTAAACAGAGACCAGAAAAGTATAGTAAACATAGAGAAAAGAAAGAAAAGGAAACAAAGAGAAAACAAAAAAGAAACAAAGAAGGCTGTCCAGCTCCACACTTCAGGCTTGGCAGCGTTAGTGTGAAGCTGCCTTAATTTTTTAACAGAGCAGCTGTTTAGGCTCTGAGAAAGTGTGTTAGTTGTGAACAAAATGTACCATGAACTGGCACGCACTCTCTTCATTCTCTTCATCTTCTTCACTCATAGAAAATATGTGTTCATTTCTCCAAAATGGGATGCAATAACTCTGGTGATCAAAAAATGAGTACAGAGAGAGAAAGAAATTCAGACAAAGAAAGGGAAAATGGACAGAAAAAAGATACGAAGATAAAGGAAGAAAGGAACAGAAAGAGATAAAAAGAAACAATTAATAAACAGATTAAAAAACAGTAAGACAGAAAAAAAAATTAGGAAAGAGAGAGAGAAAGAAAGGGACAAAAGAGAATGAAGGAGAGAAATAGAAACACATAACTAGAGACAGAAGGAAATAGACGGACAAAAACAGAGAAACAATGAGAAACTAAGAAGGCTATCAAGCTTGGCACCACTTGTGCGAAGCTGCCTTAACTTATTTCATATTGGTATTAGCAAATAATGTCTCATCACCTTCAGTGTGCAGTTTGAACATGTAGCAGGATATAGTAGACGTCTGATTTCTCAGACGCCTAAAATTCCAGACATCCCTGATTTTCCGGACTCATCAGTGGCACCATCAAGTTACCCATAGAGTCAATGTAAAATCCAAAACTCCAGACATTTGTAGCTTTTTCCATCCAATTTTTTGGAAATTTTACCGCTAACCAATTAAGAATACTGCATTAAGCACTACAGAAAGAAAACAACCTCGATGGTCGAATCTTGCAAATGTGGCTGCGTTGGAAGCACAATGCTTTCATGCATCCAAGGCACACACTTCAAACAGTGCTTCCTGCACACGTGAAACACAGCATGTCACAGCATACTAGGCTGCCAAAGTCACTAGAAATGCTGGACCAAATGCTTGCATAGATGCTGTAGGGGGTGTCAACATTGTATCGTCTTCATCAAAGGCTTCCATGCCAGCCGAATAGCATTACACACTGTGTGAATTGCATTCTTTAACGTCCTACTGAGCTGAAACTACAGTAAACGTCTTTATAAGAGACAATAATGTAATTAACACTTGGGTGGTATAAAAGACACCAGTGTGCTTGTGCTGAAATAGGGGGTGAACTGATGACGAAGACATGGCACCCTACTACATGACACCTTTATTAGGGACAAGAAGTGCTCCCCAGTACGTGTCTATATAAGGAGGTTCAACTGTACTTAGTCGAGACATTCCAATTTTTTATCATGAATGGTTGTTATATTAAAAAGTGATTAACCTTCATTTCATTATTAATGTGATGAACAGACCTACCCACTTGCTATATTGACTCGTTCAGAGAGAGAGACTCGTTCAGAGAGAGGGAAAGGCAGTGAGGTTAACCAGAAATTGAAGCATCCGGTTTGCTACCGTGCACTAAGAGAAGGAAGAATGGGGAAGAAAGATGGGAAAGAAAACAAAGAGTGAAATAGATGCGCGAAAAAAAAAAATGCGAGCTGGGGTGCCATAGTCTATACAATAGGCCACTACCACGCGAAAAGTTCAATAAGGCCTTCACTGATTTTCTGTGCGAAGACAGATCATGTCGCCTTTAAGCACTGATTGTTCTGGCAAAGGTCTGTCATCAAGGCGAGCTAACGCAGCAGCTAACTGCCGTCTTTGCACTCTGTAACAAGGGCAGTGACAAAGTACGTGCTCTATCGTTTAATCGCTGCCGCAATGATCGCAAGCAGCACTGTCTTCACTGCCGATTCGGAAGGCAAAAACTATGGTGAAAGCGACACCGAGCCACAGTCGGCAAAGCACCGTTGTCTCAAGCCGAGAGAGTCTGGACGGGGGCCGAAATCGACGAAACGTCTCCATCCTATGCAGTCACGTGTGCCGTAAGCACTCAGTGTTCCACGGGGATTTTACTTCTTCATTAGCGATTTTTTAAATTTTAATTGCAGCATCAGTCCTTGAAAATGGAATAGATTCTTTTTCACCATCTTTGTGTGCTGATCGAGCAGCTGCATCAGCATGTTCATTGCCCAATATGCCACAGTGACTTGGAAGCCACTGAAACGTGATTTGGTGTCCTCGTTGAAGAGGTAGTGAAGCAGCTCTGCAATTTCTAGCACTAGTTGTTCATGAGGTCTCCGGCGTAAGGTGAGTAGAAAACACTGTGTTGCTGCTTTGGAGTCCATGAACATGCTCCATTTCTTGGCTTCTTGGTGTTTACTGACTTTAAGGGCGCTACGTAGAGCAGCAAGTTCCGCAGCTGTTGATGACGTCTGGTGCGATGATCGAATCTTTGTCGTCGTCGCTACTGCAGAAAAGATCACCGACCCTGCACACCCATGCACTTTAGTTGAAGCGTCAGTGTATAGATCGTTATGCTCACAGTACTTCTCGTACAACAAAAGAAGAAAAAGCTGCTTTAGCGCTGAAGACGAGAGCCGGGCTTTTGACCGTATGCCTGGAACCCTGAGCTCAACATGTGGATGAGTCATACACCATGGGGGAGTTGCAATTCTGGACGGAGTTGTACTGTCTGGCAAAATGAGGCATGAGGTCGGTCTTCTGGCAGTGAGGCTAGATGATGGGTCGGGGCGAGAGTAAGATGCCTGACGTGTGCTCTGAGCACTTTTATTACAATGTGTCTTGAGCGAGTAGTCATTTGCGATCACAATTGTCTCAGCTGTTAATGAACATCACAGTAGCCCCAGACAAACTCGCAAAGCCATAGCCGGGATGATTTCGAGAGTGCGAATGTTGGTTCTACAGGTATTGGTCAACACAGGCAAGCTGTATTGCAAATAGCCGAGAAAAAGCGTCTTGTACAATTGCATCATTGCAGGCACTGAAGTCCCCCAGGTTTTTCCTCCAAGATACTTGAATAAGTTAGCAATGTCTGTCAGCCACTTCTTCAAGTAGGCCATATGTGTGCCCCAGCAGAGGTCTCTATCAATGAATACGCGTGGAAATCTGTGCATCCTGACATATGGTATGACTTGGCCATCGATAGATATAGCGTATGGTCTCATTGGCCTGCGACTAAAAGCAATCAATGCGCATTTCGCTGGCGGGATTCTCAGACCCTGTTCATCGTGGTACACTGATACCAACGTCACAGCTTTCTGAATCCTTGCGCGCACCTGAGCTCTTGTCACGTCAGATGCCCAGATGCAGATGTCGTCAGCTTACATAGATAGCTTTTCTACACTCGGTAGTCGTTATACAAGACCAATGAGAACGAGGTTGAAGAGGGTTGGACTCGAGACACCACCTTGCGGAACTCCACAATGCACGATGCTTGAGCCTAGCAGGACTCTAGTGCGAGTTAGTTGGTTCATGATCTTGAGCAGGTTTTTTCAGTGCGCAACAGACAAAAACGAAAAACCGAGAAAAAGCAAGACACACATGAGCACTGACTTGGCCTAATGAAATAGATGAAATAAAAAAACCATAGTTGGGACAAAATGTTAATTGTGATCAAGTGGGTTTCTTTAACATCCATGCAAACCATGTTCAGCAGCCATTTTCGCAGCTAAATCTGTTTTGACAAGATGGCTAGTCACTACTTTCGACAGAAGTAAAAAGGCCCTCCACAGTGTGAGAATTATTCAGTCTTTCATTGCTGAATAAAAGTATTCAACATCGATGTGCTGCTTAAAGTTGCACTAACCATACTTCATCTTTACAGCTCTAGCCTTGAGTGATCGCTTGAGTGGTGCTGCTGCACCCATCACCGACAACACTGTTTTCACTGAAGCTTTGCTGTGGATAAGTACACCCATGAGCAGAAGTATAAGAACAACAGTAGTGCGTGCCCAAATAGTTGTCTGCACCATCTAGTGGCGAGCTGCCTGCTGTTGAGAGTATTGTTCATGCTACACATGCCCAAGCAAAGCTCTCGACTTCACATTACTCTCAACAGCAAACTGCTCACTGCTGAACAGCACGGACAGCAATTTTGGCATGCACTCATGTGGTCCATATACTTTTGCTCACAGATGTACATCTACTTGCGTAGTGGTGTTCTATGGTAGCCCTTGTACCTCAGAATTTATTAAGTGCAAGTGCTGTGTCCACCTCGGTAGAACAAGGACTAGTGTGCTTGACTGCTGACCTGAAGGTCGCGCATTTGGTTCCAGCAAAGGCAGTCACATTTCAATGGAAGCGAAATAGTAGAAGCATGTGTACTGTGCGATGTCAGTGCACATTAAAAAACACCAGATGATCAAAACTTTCAAAGCCCTCCACTGCGGCGTCCCTCATAATCATATCGTGGTTTTGGGTCGTAAAACCCCATATGCTATTATATAAGTACAAATGAAGTATTGTAGAGTAGTCTCCACAAAGTCAAGGTTTACTGTTATAAAAATGCTTTTCTGGGTGATATTCTGGCTTGGGATCTAGAAAAACACAACAATGTAAAAGTCAGCTGACGTCATTACAAGTCCCAATTTTCTCCTTATTCAAAATTTGCTACACATGCCTGGAGCTTCAGTTGGGTCTGATGAAACAAAACGTAAAAGGCTTATCACTGTTATGGCAGTGGCAAAACCTGTAGATGGTGAAAATCATTGATGGCAGTCGATTCTAACAGCACTTCCAGAGCACTATAGCAGCAAAGAATAGCTAAGGCAGTGAAAGCATAGCATGGGCAACATTTATTTTTCAATTTTCAATTTCAGGTTAGTCATACAAATGTTTAAAAAATTGTTATTCATAAAAGTTTGTCAAGCAGGGTCCACATTATGTTTTTGACAAATATGTTTTTGAACACTTTTGTGCAGTTCTGAGACTTTCTTACTGAAAATTAACTGGGAGCCAACTGTAGATGCAAAACTCGTTCTCCCTTATTTGTAACCATACTATGTATTCTTATACCTGTGTTTTGTCAAAATATTTTTATATGCCTATGGCCCTACACCCTCACTTAATGCAGTTCTCTGCCTTTGCAGGTCGCTTTCCTTGACGGGAGTGATCCTGTGCCTCGTGGTCATGTTTTTAAGCAGTTGGTACTATGCACTTGCTGCCATGGCAATTGCAGGAATTGTGTACAAGTACATCGAATACCGAGGGTATGTTGATTGCTTTGCAGTACATGGTCAGGCTGTTAAAGTGCTTTCATTATCTGTTTTACTATATTTTTTTATAGAATGATGCAAAGAAATGATCGTAACAGCTGTCTGAAGTCACTTTTTTTGCTTCTTCTGCCATTTTGAACAAACCCTTTTGTACTTATATTACAAAAGCATGCATTCACTCTTCTTTTAAATAGCTTGTTTGTGTTAGTAAGAACTTGCATATGCATGTCCTGTTTAAAAATTGACCCATAAGAACAGCAATTCATCAGGAACAGTTACAGTCTCATTGTAGTAATATTTGATAATGAACAGCGATAAAACGAGCTATGTCTGAATTGTTTTTTGGAAATGTCGTTGTATAACAAATATATGCTTACAATGATTATTGAATATAATGAACGTATATTTGTGTCATTTGCTGCTATATATACTGACAGTCAGAATAACAGTGTTGTGTATGTTATGCTGTCTTCAAGCATATTTATGTTGTTAATATATGACTAGCTGCTGGCTTAGTACAAGTATTTACAGGCTAGGTGAGTTGGCTCATGATGCATATACAGATAAACCAATACAAAAACGGGTATATGTAGGGGTTTGCAAATGGCCACTTTTTAGGACTATATCAAATACTAATCCAATAGTTCTAAAATGAAATAGAATAAAATATTGAGCACTTTTTATTATTTTTTATACTTAGCACCTATTTTTAAAGTAATACCTCGTTAACTCAGTCATAAAAGCTAGGGGAATTTTTGAGATAAATGGATTTTCAAGATAAGCTAAGTTGTGCTAATCACCTGAAAAAATTAGTGTTTTTCATAAAAATAACTACTACTTACCTGCTCTTCAGCGGCAGTTTTTAATTTTTTTCTTGTTCAGGTTTAAAAGAGAAAAAATAACATACAAGAGACTTTAACCGGCTGTGTTTTGCTGCACTGCCATTTTATTTAGCAGAGAAAAATTGCCTAATGCTCGTCTGCTTTGCGGTCTTACTCGGGCCTAAGAAGACGTCCTCTAGCTGATTAAGCTATCGCATCAGTCGATCTTCCCCGCTACTGCACTTGACCTTATTTCGAAGCAGGCGCAGCAAATTTCTCATCTCAGAAGATGTCGGCACATCTCAAAATGGTTCGTCATCGCCGTTGTCTCCACCGTTCCCTACGTTAGTGGTCGTTTTAACGATTTCAGCATTCGTCATTTCTCTGGTCACCACCACATCCTGCTCACAGAGCGCGATGCTCGATTTCATTCGGCCTAATTTCTCCACTTCCTTAATTAGGGCAACCTTTTTTTCTAACGTTAGTGACTTGCACTGCTTTGACTCTATGCTTTCCGCACTCACGCTAAGTTGCCCCTCCTCACGATCAGCAAAAAATCCTTATTGCTTCGTTTGCACAAATGAACGGAAATCACACCTCAGGGAAAATCACGAGCACTGCACTCACACTCAGTGGTACCGCATGGTTCGCGCAGATAAACGGAAATCACACCTCCGGAAAAATCATGTGCACTGCACAAAGCGAACGAGACAAACTATGCCAAACATCAGCTGAAGGCCTCCCTGCTCAGTGCATGTGTCACATGATATGCCACAGGGTTGCTTGACAGAGTTGATATGTTTCTGGGCTGAGACTTCGCACACTTCGCGTTCACAGAAAGCATCGACGTAGTGACAGGCGCAGCTAAATAAGAAAAAAAATCGATGGACTTCAGGTGTGGCAGCATCGCACGAATCTTGTGAAATGGTCCGGCGGCAGAATTTTTATTCCACTCCCAGTCAAGATTTCGACTTATCTGCAATCGACCAAAAAATACTTCAAGATGAAAGAAAAAGTATACATGGGACGTATAGGAAAATGTTCGGTGCCGCAGAAAATTTTCATTTAGCCAATTTTTTGAAATATGCAAGTACAAGTTAACGAGGTATATTACTGTAGTAGCACAAAGGGATTAACACATCCTAGTATTTATTTTAGTCAGTACGTTTAGATAGGGAAATAGCCTACAACACTACATAAACAGGCTGGCATAGGTATACAGGGCAATTTATTGAACATAATCAAAACAATTCATGTGGCAGTAGGGGGCGTGCCCTCTCAAGCATTCGGCACTGGTATTGTAGGTTGATGTATTGAGCTGCACTCTTTTTATCATAAAAATGAACCATCTGTATGATGTGATACCATGTACATTGTTTTACTCCCTTTACATGGATGATCTGCAGATTAGATATATCATTTAATCTTGCTATGTGCAAGCAACACGTACAATTCAGACTCAACAGATGAATATATAAATAGGCGAGTGCTGATGGCTTCAAACTAAACCACCAAAAGTGTATTGACATTCTTTTTTCAAACTAGAGAGGTGTTCATGAAGTAGTACTCAAAAGACACGGTTATGCACACGTAAAAAATGCCACACACGCAAGCACAGCAGAGATTATTTTTTGGTTAACAACCACTGTATTTTCCAGTGTATGAGTCACGCCTTGGTATAAGATGCATCTGCTATTTTTTATGACTTTTGCAGGAAAAAAATTATATACAAAACGGACCTATTTTTAACCCGTTCAACGTGATAAAACACTATCACGCATGCAGAGTTTATCATCGCGAATTGTGTAGCCCCACACGGCACTGCATATTAGGTAGCAGCAGTATAAAAACTGTAAATCACACTGTCCTAAAGCGCAGAAAACCGATATTTATTGCACTTTACTCGAAGCCACATCCACCAGTGTGCTGTCAAAAGTTTCGCCACTTCGATAGGCAGCATCGCTGGGTTGCCGTTGTTGGCCCAACTCTTTCATTCAGTGATATAAGCACCTTTAATCATATCACTGGCTCCACCACTGCAGCAATAGAAGTCTTGGGGTATATATAAATAACCAGTGAACCAATGGTCGCACCGCACAATTAACGTCAAAACTACCGAAACATACGCACAATTGAAAGTAAATGGAGACTGGAAGTTAAAACCTGCGACTACTGCTGGATTGCTGAAAAGTCGCACATGGAAACTGATGAGGATGATAGCGAAGTGGCATTTTTGTAACTAGTAGATAGATCATGGCCACCAAACATCGCAACAAAACATTAAAGTTGGTTGCTCAAACTTTAAAATTTGTCCTACGAGATGACATTGGTGTGCAGTGAGGTGCCCATTTTTATTTATTGCATTAGTTCTGTCGGTTTAATGCTTTCAGAAAATAATTTGAATATGAAGAGAGCGTGTGTAATGGTGGCAGCCTTCGTAATAAAGCAGCCATAATCTTCTTGGTTGACACGCTGCATTAAGCAAGTAGCCACCACCTAAAGTCACGGTTGCTTCACTGTTGCAACTTTATTAAGTATCTTTTTACGAAAGCTGTTTTGCACAGTTTATCGCACTCTTCAATAAGATAAAAATATTGGTCGCTGAAGGTCATATGACATTTTGCGTATATAAGATGCACCTTTGTAAAAAACGCTCCAGTGAAAGTTTCAGAAAAAAGGTATGTCTTATACATTGAAAAATACAGTATTTATAATGTCTGAGCATAAGTTATTAGCCACAATTTTAGATTTGAAACTAAAATTTGTGGGGGTACTAACACATTTTGTAAAGTTCTTTGCGCCTCGTGGCACACGTGTCTTGCGCATAGGCTGCATTTCGGGGTCAGAACTATTGAGCGTTGTGCTCACGAGCGTGTATCACCACCACCATCATGGTTAGAAGGATAAAGCTGCTGGTGATGCCTTGCGGCACATGAGAGAGAAACAGGTCTTTTTGGAGGATGGCGGTTGGCCCGAATGGTTGTCTCTAGCGCTGAGTCTGTGGTGCATGGCACCGCGGGCCGTCTGCCGTGGGCCCTCGTGATGAGTCAAGTGTTGGCGAAGCCGCCCTGTGTGTGTTCTTGTGTTTGTTATGTTGTTGTATTGTGTAATATTGTGCAAGGTTGTGTCAGCTTGTTGATCACAATTGATGTATATTAATTCGGCTGGCAATATTGTCATTCTAAAAGTAGTTAAATAAATTAATGGCTTGCTCTGAGTAATTCTGTAGAAGGAGGTGTGAAGGTAACAACTTGATATGCGAAAAGTTTCTTTCATAATCTTAGACGTTGAGTAATGACACAGCTGCCCCAGTGTCGATGAGCATGTTGAAGGTGGATCCATTGATTCGTACGGGAAGATGAAGTCTAATAGTGGTGTGTGTGTCATTTGGTTTGTTTCAATCGTGTCTACTGTGTTCGTGTTCCAAGAGTGTGGCATTTTATTGCAAGATCCGACAAATTTATACCTCATATGGAACTCCTCAATGGAAAATGTCTCAAAACGATGAACCTTCATACGCTTATAGAATGTACGACATAAAGTAATGACAGGAAATGCTTGCTCAGCTTGTGTGAGAGTGTCATACCCTCATGCTTTGATTATGGCGCCATGCTGTGCCAGACCTCCACACCAAGTGCCCTGAAGATCTTGGATCCTGTTGATAATCTGAGCATCCACCTTGCCATCAGTGTCTTAGAACCAGTACGATAGAATGCCTCTAACATTAGTAAAAGGACTGTTTTCTGTATCTCCATAAGACAGACACCAGTTTCATATATTTTAAAGTAATGCAAACACGAAGCATTCATCTTGTAAATTTTTCAATAACACTGCAAGCACTGCTGAATGTGACAACTGTTCTGTAGCAAGAAATTTCTTCTGACTTCGTGTGAGAAAGCTTTCCAAGGATATGGATGTTGCACTCCTGGAACATTGTTTAATGATGCTAGTGAAGCCACTTCAGCTCTGGCTATGGCACATTATTGAGTGTGATACAGCCTTTATGGAAGGCACTAAAAGTTCCCCGCAAATACACAATGCCATGCACTTCTTTCAACTTCACTGATGCATCAAGGTTGGACACTGGTGTATCTTATGCAACACTTGGTCCTTCCTTCTGCGACTTAAACATTATGTGCCCCCCCCCCCCCCCCCAAAAAAACTATCATCATAGCTCAAGTGTACACACCTGCTCAAGGCGTATAAGGAAGGTGAATATATCAAATTCTGCCATATTGACCAATTCTTTAAGCATGGTAAAATCTTTGAAGTCATTTCACAAAATTACAAATCCAGTATTAACCAACCGTCACTCAGTCATATGTATAGTATACTTGAACAATCAGCATAGTATGGTCACATGCTAGGTGTCAGGTCGCAGAGGCATTTATAGTGACATGCTTGCTGAGAAACTGCGATAATGATAACTAGAGGGAATGACTCTTTATAAGGGTACCAGCAATATACCTGAAGCCATTCAAAAGAAAAAAGTGTAGAAGCTACTGGCAGTACTTATGAGATGCAAAACAGCATTATAAATTACACTTGATTAAACCACACCTAAGCAGTTGGTCACCTACTACAAGGACAAATATACAGAAGGTCACATTCTGCTGACTTAGGATAAGCCACTCATACAACATACACATATGACAATTGCCACAAATGGGGTGGGGGGCACAAACAACGTATTCATGTACACTCACCATTATTCCTTAGTTTGAAACCCTTATTCAACTCTCTTTCTCTTTTAGACTTTGTGAACAAGATTCAAACATTGTATCTTATTTCTCCAATTGAGCCATAGAGCACTCTCTAGGATGAGGTTACTGCTACAGATATTTCACGATGTATATCTCTCCAGGCCCTTGCATTGATGTGTCTTGTTGAGGCAATGGTGCCACTGTCAAAATTACATGATTTTTACTTTAAATATTTTTTCATCAGCTTTAATCTCTTGTGCCTTGCATGTTTTGCCCATTGCACACTGCACTATACATTCATAATGTTTTATTCTCTGCAGATATTTGTTATTTTAGGCCCCCTTATAGCCTCGATACACACAAACCAATTCTAATTCACTGTTCATCAACATTCTCACACAAAACCCTATTATGTCATCGTCACATCCTAGTACAGCTGATGCTGGGTATATCAAACTTATATATATCCCAATTATTTATCATTTCATCACTTTTGGCTTGTACACTTCAGTAGTTCTCGCTTAGTTACTGCTGAATTTTCCATCGGCAGTCGAACTGAACATTGCATCACTCGTAGTGATAAAAATGATGACTGGTGCTTGGAACGACGTCAAGCAAGGCACCGACGTGCACAGTTTCCTCATGGGCTTTGGTGACAGGTGATAACATAGTGTGCTTTATCTTAGCTGACAACGGCATATGGTGCCTCAGTGAATTTTGCTGCTGATTAGCATTTCCAGGCGCCACCTCAAATGCGAGTACAGAGAGCGACTTCATCAATGCAGATGACAACATCGCTATTTCTGACTGCGTCGATGCTGATATCATGGCTGACATTGCCAGTGCTGCGGAAGTAGACCCCTGTGTATGAAGAAGCTAACTAAGGCTGCCGCTAAACAACATTTTACCGCGCTACACAGCTTGCATTAGTGCTCATCGCTGTTGTGGCTGAAGGGGCTAAATTCGTCTATTTCGAAAGCTTAAATGTTCAATTAATGATGATGATTTGATGAAATGACGACACGCAACGAACAAGACAAGTCTACAAACTATTTTCATGCAAAATAAAGTGCGGTAGCTTGCAAAGGAAGTTGTCACCTTTTTCTTGAGCATACTGTGACATTTATTACAATTTCTGAAAGCCGTCTTGAGAGTTGCAATGCATGAAGAAAAGCCTAAAATATGCATATTTCTTTTATCGATATATTGAACTAGTATTTTGCAATTCCTTTGAGTTCAATATACCTGGGACTATTCATAATTTTAGCATTAAAAGAATTATACAATCAATCACTCAATTGCTGTTTTTTTCATTTTATTCCTACTGGAATGTGGTTGCCTCAGCAAGAAAATAAACACAGAACCCCCTATTTAGCAGCAAAATGTAGGAGTGGCTGAGCCAAAATGGCAGGCTCAAGAATATTTGTTCATAAACTTTTTTTACAGACTTTGCACATCTTGGCACAAGAGTAATTTTATCACCGCTAAGTTTGCAGCATTTCTTTTGTTTCAGTATGCTATATATGCTTCACCTTGCTAAAATACTTTGTATGTTGAAGAGGTCTTGCAATAGACATATAGCAACTTGGGCTGTAAGAGACTAGTTTTAACCTCAAGTTTTGTACACCACCCATGCAGTGCCGAGAAAGAATGGGGAGATGGTCTACGTGGTTTGGCCCTAAGTGCTGCCCGCTACAGTCTGCTTCGCTTAGAAGAAGGACCGCCTCATACCAAGAACTGGAGGCCCCAAGTACTTGTTCTGTGCAAACTCAACCAAGACTACATGCCAAAATATCGCAAGCTTATCACCTTTGCCTCACAACTCAAAGCTGGTGCGTTCTCGTGTGCCCATCATAGTTTTAAGTAGTTTCTAAAGTACATTTACTATTCGCGGATCCAGAGGGGGGGGGGGTGTTAGGGGTGATTGCCCCCCACCCAAAAAAAAAAAAAAATCTCTCAGTGCCCCTTTTCCTCAATTCAGGGCTTGTAGGCCACCTCCTATCAAGAATTAATTAGGACAAATGAGTGAAACCACTGTGAGCACACATTAACAGTATTTGCACTATGAAGGGTTTTTTCTGCTAGTAAAAACAGTCATGACCACACCCCCCTCTATGGTGTTACTTTAGCTGACCAACCCCCCTAAAATGAGTGGCTGGATCCGCCCCTGGCATTTACTAAGTATGATTCAGTTCCTGCAGTGTCAAGTGTTATTTTTTTATGTCTTTATTGATTGAGATGTTAGAGTGCTTGAAAAGTAAAAGGCCCATTACAATTTACTTACATCATGGATGTTTCTAGAGTCGGAATGTCAATAAAATTTTGTCAGACAAACTCCCTGAAATGCTAGAACTGAATGGTTAATGAGTTGTGTATTTTTTCAAAATGTGCATTTGCATCAATATACAACAAACATAATTCATAAAGTATGCATATTCTATATATGAGCAGTCATCTTTTGCTTACTGAAAGATGACATGTAGGCTTGCACGAATAGTAAATTTTAGGTTTGAAGCGAATAGTCATTTAGTCAATAATTTCGAATCGAATAGTTTATATCACATGTTATAAAGAATAATGAGTATATTTGTAATCATCCAACTAACATGCACAGTATTTTTTTTTAAATTGAAACATGGCATGTACAGATGTCATTCATTTCGGTTCAAAGGAAGTGGAAGCAAGTTTGAACCAGGATTTCACTTTCGGTAGTATGCAAGTAATAACCTATAAGATACGTTAAGTTTTAATAAAATTGACCTTACTTTGGGCATATAAGTGGGTATAACAAGCCTTCAGACTTGAAAAATTATGAATCTTTATGGGGGTAGTAGGTTCATCTAACCTTGATGTAGGGCTTCAAGGCAGTGCGGATTTCTCCTAGATAGGTGTATTCGTGGCATAGCATTCGTTCATGACAGCAAAATTATCTTTACAAGTGGCTTACATGTGGATTTGTGTACAAGATTGCTGCAGCTGTTGGTGCGTACAAACCTATATCAACAAATGTGATCGGCTGGGTGCTGAACACTTCATGTGTTCATGTGATTCTTCGTTCTTGTGATCATTCATCCAATGCATCACTCAGTTCTCTTTTCTAATACCCAGTGAAAAGTGATGAACTGGGATCAGCTAGGTTTACGTCCTTGAATTTCTCTTATGTCTCCCACTTTTACTGTATTATGAGTCAGTAACGTGGTGTGCACGCTATGCATTCCTTATGAAACATTGTAAGTCTAGGCGTCTTCATATGCCTGAGAAATGGTGGCATTACAAGTTGACAAGTTGTCACTCACTGCATCTTCATTGATAATATTCAGTGACATATTTAGACTAGTTATTTAAAAAGGGAGCTTAACTGCATTAGTTCCTTCTTTTTGGTTAATAAAGGTAAAATGAAGGTTTTTGGCTAACCTGTGCAGGAAAAGGCTTGACACTCGTCTGCTCTGTCTTGGAAGGAGAGTACAGCAAAATGTACAGTGAATGCCAGGCGAGCAAACAGGTACGAAAGAATGGTGTTTAAGATGTGCTTTACGTTTTTACACTTTCAAGGCAACTGAAAATTTTAATGTGCTTTGACACTAGAATTTCTGCTCATTCATGTCATTGATATCCGACTGTTTCCTCAAAAGTTATTGTATACTTATTTGTCTGCTGTCACAAACTGTAAAGCGTTATAGAAGCAGGCTTTAAGATGTTCTCAAAGTGTGCATCACTCCCATCAGAAAAGTCAGATTTATTGTCATTGCCATCACACAATGGTGCCTGAACACATTTTGTGGCCAGTTTGCATTGTTCGCATAGGGCCTGTGTGCATCATATCTATTCAGAGTGAAATGCAGCAAATTGTGATGCACCGTTTTCATTATGAAAGTGCACGACAAAGGAAGGTCATTTTGCACACTAAATATAGCTGCGTTATGGCTTTTTTTGTGTGCCCAAGGCTTGTAATCGGGAGCAGCCTAAACGGAGATCTTCAGCTGTACGTCATTCAGGAAAAGTCGCTTCAGGCTGAAAATAAGAAAATATCCGAACCTGAAAGAAAAACTTGCAGACTATCATAAGCAGCTCGGCATGTATTGGCTTTGTCAAAGTAGCCGTATGCAACGGAGGTGCATCCAAAAGTGATAGAAAAGCCAGTAAAACAGCCTCTCAGAAGATGAACAGTCAGAAGAATAAATTTTTCATCCTTTGTAGAAAAATTGTGCTTGTCACTCTCTTTTTATTTTTTTCTAATCATCAAAATAGGCGACTAAGGTTGCACGGTGGGCTTCTTGGTTATTCATGTTGTTCGAGGTATAGCGCATCCAGGACGGGACAGAGAAGAAGACACAGAACACATGTGTATGTGTTCTGTGTCTTCTTCTCTATCCCGTCCTGGATGCGCTATACCTCGAACAACATCAAAATAGGGTCGTGCTACAGTTTCATTGCTAAAATGTGGTATGTAGCAGTGTATTCATGAGTATATTGTTACGTTACAATATTTATTATGAACTCGTGAAATTAAGTACTCATTGCATTAGTCTACATGCTCTACTCGGAAGCATAGTTTTTATCAAGCTGAGCCAAATAAATGCTTTTTCTTGTTCCTTTGCTCTCCATTGCAAATATACTTTATTCAGAGTTTTCAAGCAAGATATTTTGGCATATTTGGCATGTTAGCATTTGGTTTTGGGGGGCACTTCTGATAAGACAAACTCCTGGCAAGACGAACAAATGATCGTGGTCCTTTCGAGTTTGTCTTAAAGGGAGTCTATTGTATGTTGTTTGTGTTGTTCAGTAAGTTTTTGTCAAACTGTAGGCGCTAAAAAATTACAGATAATCAAACTCATAGGGGGAGAGGGAGGGTCATGCTAAAGCCAACACTTTAAGTGTACCCCTGTCCATAATTTCATTTTCACATCAGGATGAGGATATGAAGTTTCTATGGTTGTCATGAACCAGACGACTTGTCGGGCCCTCTGTGCTTACACCTAGTGTTGAGAATGTGTACACAATATAGAGGTAGCAAGCTGTGTGCCTAATAAATAACTGTGCAGTTGCATTGACATTCTTTTTGTACAGTCTGTCAGTCTTGACTTTCTAGTTTTTGCACTTCAACATCATGTTTAAGAGCTGAGAAATTCGAAAACTAAGGATGGCAAAAGGGATTCAAATTCTGCAGTCTTCGACAATCCCACCAATGTGTATCATTTTGCAGCTAAAATATTCTGTTCAGCGTATTGTTTGTCAGTGTTGCTGTAAATCAGTTTACTCTGACTATTGAAAACAGAGGCACTGTTTAAGTAACCCCTAATTCTCTTTCTTTCTTTTTTCTTGCATTTTATGATTACAAAGTCAAACAACTAGATATATAATGTTATTCTAAGTGGCATTTTCACTTAAGAGATTTTTATATATTGATATTCTGCTGGAAGCGAATCCACTGTAGTGATTGTGTATGTTGTTTTGGGGGGGTTTTCTTGCAGAGCCTGAAAAAAGTACTTGAAGAAGAGAGAGTCAAGGGCTTTGCAGATGTTGTTGCTGGAGGAAACACCATCGATGCTATCTGCCATCTGTGTGTTATGCCCGTTTCATTATTGCATGTTACTATCTAGCTCTTGAACAAAAAAAGATAATCTCTGTACTTGCATGCTACTTTCAGGTGGGTGACAACTTTGCTTTTAATAAAGGATAATATTAGTCACCCATCTTAAAGGGACCCTGAAACGGTTTTCTTGAAGTATTATCGGTGTTTAGTCTACAGCATCATCAAATCATTCGTACCATAAATGAAAAAATGCACTTAGTATCAAGGCAGCTACGGACAATCGTATGTGACCCTCCTTCTCGACACTGCCTTTTCTCCTTAACTCTCCAAGTGCACTGTCATTACTGGCGAAGCGCATCCCACAGTGATAGAGATCTACTGTGCCTGGTGCCCCCACTCTACTAGCCTTTACCATTTCATCTTTGTATTGGCACTCTAAACGCCAACATTATGGACAAACATAAACGATTTGAGAATGACCATTGGTAGGTAAACTTGAGCAATGTGATTATGTCTTCATTGTCACAGCCACAGGCGCAGATCCTGATGGTGATCATATAGCAAGAGCCTGATGCTCACTGCACCGACAAGCTGAAGCAACTATGCTCCTCAGTTGCCTTGCATGTCTTCCATGATGTCACAGCTTTACAAGTCGGTATTCAATAGGAGCACACAGTGCAGCTAGGGCTATTTATGATGTTCGAGAAAAGAAACTTTAATCTAAACACTGTGACACAGCTAACGTGAGCATAGAGCATGTTGTAAAATAGGCTGACAATGATCACTGTCTACCAGAGGTTCAATAACATAAAATGGACATATCCAATCAGATCGCTTGTCAGTGCTATAACAGAACAATTCTGTGTAAAATAGAAGCAGGAAATTGAAAACTCATTCAATTGAGCCGCTGCAATTTGTAGTACTACCATGTTTGAAGCTTTCTAACAAATTAACCACGCAACACTTAAAGCATAAATTGGTTTATAAATTATCCTTATGACTTGCTTTACCCACTTAGTTCGTTTTTGCAAAATCATCAAAATTGTTTCAGGGTCCTATTAATATACTAACAAGATTGCCTGAGAAAAGAAGCACACCAGAGAAAGCAAGCATACATATAAAAAATTGCACTTTCCGCCGTAATGGCAATCGAATGGGGTTTCTTAGCTCCTTTAGACATGAACTTGTCTCTACTCTTTATTAAGCAAATTCTGACACCCAATTTATAGTATCTCTCTGCTCAACACTGTGGAATTAAGGATGCCTGGATTGAGCTAACTGCAGGGGGTGTTGCGAATTGCTTGTGTAAGGCAGGTTCTCATAATCATAAGTATGATTACACCTCAAGAGTTGATTATCATGGAGATTTATTAACACATTCTGTCATCAATCTTGGGTCTCAGACAGCCTTTTGTTGTTCTCTATGGACCGTAAAGTGTTACTATTTGTACTTTTTGCTTTGCTTGATATCATTGCTCATACTAGTCCACTACAAAAACAAGTGAGGTTCCTCGCGCTTCGACTATCTTGCATGAAATTCAATCCTCTGGAACACTGACAAAATGTAAAATGACTGTTTTTTTAGTTTAGCTTATAAAATAATCTATATTTTCAGTTATCTTTCATAGTTGAAACTTTAAAATGGTGTATTGCGAGAGCCATTACAGACAAAAGCGTTTTCTGCTGCCATTTTTTGAAGACATTCACAGTGATTCCCATAGGGTGCTGTTGTTGACTCTGGGAATGCAGTTCTGTGTGTGTGTGTGTTTTTTTTTTTTTTTGCAGTCCTGAGCTTCATGTGTTTTAGAACGGGGCCCTAAGTGGCAATAATTGACTGTGAACTGACATTTATTTATAAAGCTGCCAAATACATATAAAAAAATTAGCGTTTTTGGTAGGAGACAACAGTAGCTTCAATACATTACCTGTCTCCTAGTGTCACAAAAAGTGCTTTATCAAATGGTGCATAATGACTGAGGCCATATTACTGATGTCACCATTGGGGACAGACACATGCTGGTCGTTCGACTTCAAGTTATTCAGCAGGCACCAGTTTTATAATCAAAATAGCATAAATCTTGGGCAACTGAAATCTATGGGCACAAGCTAGGACTGTTTCTCCTGAATAAAGTAACCGAAACCAATACAATAGAATCTCAGTAAATGGAAATCTCTTAAGTGAATTGCTGTTTAAACAAAACAACTTCCTCTAGCATGATTGGTTTCTTACCTGAATTTTTTAGTCATGTTCAGCTCTCACGAGACGGAACTCCTGTTAAACGGAACACATTTTCCTGGTCCCTTCAGCGTTTAATGAGAGTCTACTCTACATTGTATTAAGTGGAGACAAAATAAATCTCTTAAGAAATAATCTGTTCTAGATCCATGACCCAAAAGAGTCAACTTAAAGATTCATAAAAGTTTAGAACAAGCTACTTAAAAAGCTTTACAAAAGATGTCACACACATGTCACTTACAGAGGCATTTCATAAATTTACTGCATAATTTACAGCATGCATCTTCCAGTGATTTGCATGTAATATTTTTTTTTGGCAAAGACTGCACTGTTGCTACCTGCATAATCTTACTTTCATTGTTACAGCATCCAAACTGCTGGCCTTGGGGGACTGAAACACAACACTGTTATCCTTGGCTGGCCGTATGGATGGAGACAGTCTCCTGATGAGCGCTCATGGAAGGTTTTTATTGGTGAGCTAATTCCACACATTTTTTTATGCAGTTCTTTCAGAAACAAAGCACGAATCTTATTTACAGAGTTATATCTGCAAAGTGATACATCTTCTCTTCACTTGCTTTTTGTAAAAAAAAAATAATGATGACTTCAAAGCTGTGTTCAGGAGGTGTGTTTGCTTCAGAAATGCAGAACAAGTTTCTTGATTGCCATTACGTTTTTGTCTATGACAGAAACTGTGCGAAATGTTTCGGCAAGCAAGAATGCCCTCCTTGTGCCAAAGAACATCAGTCAATTTCCAGACAATACTGAGAAGCTTCATGGAACCATTGATGTGTGGTGGATTGTCCGTATCCTTCGTGTGCGCCGCTGCCATGGAGGCCCCCTGACTTCTGTATATTTTTATATTTGTTCAGTTTTTTTTTTCCTCATTACTAACCTTTAGTCTATTATGTTTAAACATATTGACAGTGTAGTAGAGGAGACATGCATTTGCAATTTTTCTGTTGATTGAACCCCTAGGGAACATTTGAGCCCATGCCCATACATTGATATGGGTACAAACAATCATTGCTTTTATTATTAAATCGTTCTTCACTGACTAATTTCAACTTGGTTGCTCAGCGTACATATAACAGTGAGCACTAACAGCTAGAGACCATAACAGTGAACTTCATGCTGATGAGTAGGACAGTGACATCATTTGTCCTGATGTTTCTTAGGTTATGGTGCATGTGCTAGTAACTGGCAAAAGCCCTTGAAAATGCATGTTTTTGACTTGCACTGCAAAATCAGTAGCTCACCCTTGTATACTGCAATATTTAACAATGTTAATGCACACATTTTCCTTCCCAAAAAAATTAATCGAAATTTTTTTGCATGGTGCATTTCAATGTGAAACGAAGGCCAAGATCTTGCAGCTATTCAGTAAATGAATAAAAATTTTTGCCCCACTCTGCCAAACAGGCACCTTGCACATGAGCCCTGCTGAGTCGTTTGCGGCAAAAATGTTTATTTGTTTGTGGAATGGTACAGGGTCGTGGCACAAAATGATATATCAGATGTTCACAACATCCTACCCATGGACCCAGTGTAGCTTGTGTCATTGCCATTGTCATCTCAATAAGGCTTTGGAGAGTTGTCATTTTCTAAAGGTCCAGTTTTGCGGTCTCTTTTTCTTTCTTGTGTTGTTACATTCAAGAATGCATTAACTAGGTGTGAGTTAGATTTCTGCTTGAAGCTGTCATATTTTTACAAGAGCTCCAACATCACTTTTGTGTTTGTTTTCTACGCTGCACCCATAAAAGTTGGTTGTGGATTCAAATTTAGAGTTTTAAACTATGGGCAATTATTGCTGAATCAAACAGCACTGTGTTTCAGCCCCCCCCTACACACACACACACACAAACACACACACACACACAAACACACACACACACACACACACACACACACACTACCTTTTTGTTCTTTTTCCCCTGACTTAATTCGAGCACTTTTGTTAGCGTTATCAAGATTGATTTAACAAAATAACAGAAGTCAATAGCAACATATGCATGTGCATATTGCAACATATGCAACAATAGCAACATATGGATGTCCACACGCACACACACACACACACTACCTTTTTGTTCTTTTTCCCCTGACTTAATTCGAGCACTTTTGTTAGTGTTATCAAGATTGATTTAACAGAATAACAGAAGTCAATAGCAACATATGCATGTGCATGAAAAAAGTTTTCCCTGGCTGTGAATTGTTCCTTAGTTTTGTTGAAGATGATGGTGGCCTGCTCATGCTCCTGCCATTCCTTCTGAAGCAGCACAAGGTTTGGAAGAACTGCAAGCTGAGGATTTTCACTGTTGCCCGTATCCTTTACTGTTGGCTTGGTTCTGTCATTTGCATTGTTGCGTGAAACGATTCAGAGAGTCATGTCCATTTGCACTAAGCCTTTCCATCAGACAGCATTCTGTCAGAATGAAGTTTTAACAGACTTCAGTTCAAATGATTTGTTCTCAATTAATTTAAAGAGTAATGCATTGTCTATTTAGTATGTAGCTGTTTCACAATTGGTTGGAGTGAACTGTTAATCTACAAGGACAGTATTGTAGATCATTTGTTCTAGACAGAATACTTATGGTTGACACTGTCAAAATAAGTAATAGTGAAATAAATTCGGTAAGCTTTTTTTTTTAGATGTGAAGCAGCTCTTTGACTAGCCTGTGTAATGCCACGCCCCACAGGTGTTGGCGCCGTGCCCAGTAGGTTACGCTGCTGCTGCGCATTGACGTCACGCTCTTTTCGCAGTGCGCGCTGACATCACTATCTCCCTTGCCTGCCGCACACTCGCTGCGGCGCCCGCAACTGCCACCTCATCCGTTCGCCCGCAAAACCTTCCGTGACTGCCGTTTCCTACACCGTGGACTCGTTGGGTGACATGCAATGAACCTGCCGCGAGCCTAACATACGCGTAGAAACATGTCTGTACGTGTCACCTACAAAACATACCCCAGCCATTACTTCAAACGAAACTTCTAGCGCTCACTGCAGCACCTGCGTTAGCGCCATTCAACCCGTGATGCCACCTCCCGTGCACAACGCTGTAGCTTCGCATCTCATCAGGGTTCCTTTCGGGGGAATGGTCCAAGTTTTCTGTTGTTAGATTACCGTATTTTCCAGCATGTTTAAGTCGCACCTTTGTGTAAAAGACACCCTCTACTTATTACGACTTTTGCTGGGAAAAAATTCTATATGAGACATACCTTTGAATAATGTGCACCTATTTTTGATGCCATTGCATGATGAAATGCAAGGATGCACACAGAGTAAATTCATTTTGAATGCGTAGTCATGCATGGCATTGAATGTCTCTAAGTAGCATTATAAAAGTTGTAAATAACGCTGTCCTGAGGCATAGAAAACCAATATTTATTCCTCTGCATTTGAAGCCACATCATCTGATACACTGTCAAAAATTCTTCCTCGTTTGGCAGCATCGTGGAGTTGCCATTCTCAGCCTCTAAATAACGCTTTTACGCGGCAGTGAAAGCACCTTGGAGCACATCGTTTGCATTGTCTCTACGGCATTATGAGGCTTGGGGAGTACCCATAAACAACGATTGCACCACAGGTTTGACACCTACACATGCTTGCAAAATGTAAATGGCGGCAAGAAGCCTCAAGCTACGATTACTGCAGGACTGGAACTATGCCTCACTGACCTCATGCGGCAATTGTTGAAGGTGGTAACAAAGTGGCACTTTCATTTGTGTAACTGGACTATTGCAGGCACGGCAACGTTAGAAAGAAATGTCATGTTACCCTTCTTTATTTATCGCCTCAGTTCTGCGGGTCTAATTATTTTTTTAAGAACAAACAATTCGAACAGTATAATAGTTTGCATGATGATGGTGGCTTTAACTGCTACTGTGATATCCATGGTCGCTGCAGTGCTTGAACAGCAAGTAGCTAACATCTAATGCCACTCCTATATTATTGTTATAACAATATTACATATCTTTCAACAATGCTCTCACACTCAGAAGTAAAGTATCGACATAGTGGTCACACAGTATTGCATGAATTGTTGTGTTTATAAAACACATCGATGTATGAGACCCACTAGCGAAAATACCTGAGAAAAAGTGTGTCTTGTACACGAGAAAATACGATACACAGGCCCCTTTTTTTTACTTATGAAAATAGTCTACCGTGGCAATCCACATTAAGACACAAACTGACTTTTTTCTTTTGGTCATTAGGGTGAATTACCAAGTTCAGACATTATAATACTTCATCTGTGCACAGCACATTTCAGTACTGAAGGCTCTGAGTACTCAAGCTGTTCTCTACAAACTACAGCAAAGAAAAGCATTTGAATGAGCACACTGAAAATAAATATGTGGCAAAAAAATTCCAAATGATCAGACTAAGGGCCAAGCGTAGGGGCTAGCTGGTTGTACATGGTTAACACTTGCAACGTGCTAGTATTGGACACGGAAAAAACATTGAGGCACAGGTAGGACACACACATCCCACTCGTGTGTGTCCTACCTGTGCCTCACTGTGTTTTTTTGTGTCAAATTCTAGCACGTTGCAAGTGTTAACAATGAAACTGAGGCCTACAGGGGGATATAACGGAATGACTGTGCAATTTATGGCAACATTTTGGTTGGTTAATATATATGTTGCCACATCTGTGAGGGCATAGATTGCCTGTGAATATTTGTTTCTTTCTTTTAGCACCCTTGTTGCCTTGACCATTGGCACAATGCTATTACAGAGCTTGAAGACAACAGTATTCAAATGAAGAAAGACCTGGCCATGTTCCTCTATCATCTCAGAATAGATGCAGATGTGGAAGTTGTGGAAATGGTACTTCAGTAAATCATTTCTGTCGTGCTATTCACTTCGCTTATTTCTCTGAAAACTTATCTAACACATGCTAGAATCTGCACAAAACTATAGTGGCCTGATTTAAATCAACAGTATGTCCCTCATTAGCACTTGACTAAATTATCAGCATCACCGTATTTCGGTTTCTAATGTTCTTGAGCAACTACAACTCTGTTGTCTGTTTTACTTGGAGTGTTCACTTTTGTTTTATTTGCAGAATGACAGTGACATCTCAGCATACACCTATGAAAGAACACTAATGATGGAGCAACGCACAGAGATGCTGAAGCATATGAGGCTTAGCAGGAGAGAAACCTTGAGCATGGTAATCTGTCTTTTGACTGATACTTGCACATGGTGCCAGGTAATGAAAGGTGTTTTACGTTTTTTTTTTTTTTGTCGAACAGATTCAAACAATTGTGGATCATCACCATAATCCTCTCCAAAACCACACCAGTTCAAAGGTAAAGACTTCACATGAAACGCTTATGCTTGAGTATTGCAGATACTACCACACCTGAAGAAAGCTGACAATTAAAAGTACAGTAGACTCATGATAATTGAAACTCTGATAGTTTATACTTTCAGTTGATTCAAACAAAATTGAATTTTTTGGTTGGCCCTCTATTCTTTCAATGTATTTAAAAGGCCCCTTCATTCAAACTACATCATTCAGTTAATTCATACTTTTTTGCAGTTCCATACCAGAAAATATCTGCTGCTTTTCCACTACTATTTAAAATTTTGCATTTTTATATAATCCTAACAGTCTTAAAATGAAAAATAAGTACCCACAATGAAACAGGCACACACATGGTAAACCGTGATGCTTCTCAACTGGTATGGATAGCTTTGCACTGAAGGCACATACCTATAGCTAAGAAGCAGTTGGCAATTCATGATTTCTTTAAAAGGTTTGATCAGCAGTAAATGGCCAATAAACTTGTGGATCTTACTCCTCTGTTTTCGGTTCATTGCATGCAATTAGAGTTTTAAGATAACTAAAACATTTTTAAATCTGATAAATATTGGGGGACCCTTAAGCTTCGCCTTCAAAGGGACACTAAAGGCAACTAATAAGTCGAAGTTGATTGTTGAAATAGCGTTACAGAAACCTCGCAGTGTTACATTTAGGATAAGGAAGGGACTATTTTGAAATAAAATCACGTTTTAGTGGTCCGTATCGTGTTAGCGCTCTTCAAATTACCCGCCTCAAGAAGCGAACAGACTCGCATCACTGTTGCCATCCAGAACATTGCCCGGCTATACTGCGCTAGTAGCAGCAGACCGAAAGCAGCGGGAGCCACACCAGCAACAACGACCATTGATCAATTTCCTGCCAGTGGCTTCGAGATCACAGACGTTTCTTGTTTCGACTGAGCCCTGCTAGATGACACCAGCTGTCCTGTGTAACCACGTGAAAATTGAATATTCGAACCACTCGGGGCATTCCCCATAGTAACGCCCAGCGGTTCTTTTTTTCATGAATCAAACAGAAATGAACAAGCAGCATTTTATTGTGTCCCTTGATGCACAGAAGGTTCTTTATTTAGTGCAGTTAGATCGATTACTGGTGATTAATTGTAGGTGGTCGGTCTGATGTCATCGGGATCATTTTGAAAATGTCCTACTGCGGCACTTGTGTTCTTGTACATTTACCTTGATTTCTTGGTAAGTAAAGCACTGTTGTTGATAATATTGTCGTTCTAGATGTTGTCATACATTGAGCTTTCACTCTGACAGAAATTCTTATTTCACTTTAGTGTCCCTTTAAGAGTTGAACGCGATAGCAAAATCCAACCTCTAGTGTGCCCTTCAACTACTAAGTGCATACTTATTGATATGTTTTGTTACATGCACACAGACACACAAACACATGCACGCGAATGGTACATACAGGTTTCTGATCTAAAGCAAGAGTCGCGTGGCCTCCAATATACACGTTGCGCGCTTGCCATTTTGGAGGCCATAAAGAGTCCCAAAATGCCTCACAGATGACAGCACATTATCTAGTGTTTGCTGTTTGCTTGATCGATGCCTCTGGAAAGGCATGTTATGTTTTTCGCTAGATGGACATAGTTGTCTGTTTTTAGAGCTGTTTGAAAGTTCCCGTGTGTTTTTAGCGGCGATGGCTGCACTATCCCAGCCTTTCTCGACGTAGTTCGATGGTCTCCCAAATGTGCCTACACATCGCTGAATGAACTCGTTTTCGTCGTGACACCTGTCGAACAAAATGCTTTAAGGAGACTTCATCCACTACATGGCATTTATGTATTGTTTTTTTCCCAAAGCAGCTGCAACTAACATCGTATTTAAAATTTTTGATAATTCAAACAAAATTCAGAGGTTCGTTCGAGTTTGAATGAACGAGAGTGGATAGGTTTTGAGGTGCATTGCTCAAACTGCAAAGCTTGCTACATTTTTATTCGTACGAATGTTGTATGTTGACACCATCAGCTTGACCTAGAGTGTGCCACATCTGCAGTGTGGACATTGCAGCTCATAGTGGATGTGTCAGTTGACCATGAGCGTACGCATAGTTTTCCTTCAGGAGGCTCGACGGCTCGTCGCAGCCCCCATGTTGATGTGCGTGGCAGACTTTTTAGGAGACTAAAAGGAGCGATCCCTTCCTCTTGATCCCCCCCCTCGTTCATACGCCTATGCAGTAGACAATACCTTAATAATACCACACTAGTGTATGATTGTCAACTGCTTTAGCTGGCACGCTGTCAATGATGCTTGAGTGCACTTAAACTTGCGACTTATTTTGCAATTATTTGCACAGGTGCGCTTCAGTGACAAACCACCTCAGCAAGCCGGTGACTCTGAATTGATGGATGTAGTAGCTGATGACGACAATCGTTCATCACGCCACTCGTCCCGTCATTCATCACCAACAAAGTCAGCCTCAGGTTCGCCTACAAAGCAGGTTTCTTCACCGCCAAAAGAGAGCTCACCTATCTCTCCTGCTGAGGACGATGGGAAAGCAAAAACTGAAAGCCCCGAGAAGAAAGCTCAGGATGGCTCTGGAGATGCGAGCATTGCATCTGCTAATGGAGTAGCGAGCAAGGGTCCTTCTGCTGCACCAGCTGCTGCTGCCGCATCCGATGGCCAAAAGAAGCCAGAGTTTGACAGCCTTCTGAAGTTAAAGCCGTAAGTCAATTTTATGCAGTCCATACACCGAATCCCATGTTTCTGAAATTTTCAAGAGCATATCAAAACAGTTCAGTTAGCAATGTGCATACTTTAGAAGGCATGCAATGTGTAGATGGCAAATGAGTCAAACCTTGTGTAAAAATATTTTTCTTGTATTATATTTACACTCATGCATAACTAAAAACAAGTCACAAGTATAACACAAAATTAGGTGTGAAATGCTATGATAGCTATGAGGTTTCATGAGAAACGTTGCATGTTTCACTAAGGTAAAGCAGTCTATACATCTGCTTGCATTACAGTCGTCACTGCCCTCAGAATGCATTTTCATGCCATGTGAGTCATTGAAGACCAGTGCCCGCTTTTATTCAGGTACTATATCAAGCAGAATGTCTGCTCTACACATAGTAATAATTAGGCTTGTGGGAATATTCAAATCTGCTTTTCAATGCGAGTTGTCTTTGTTTAAAATATCTAAACAAAACAACTGGCATATTTGCACTTTCAAGTGAATTTATCTTATTTAAGGTAACTTCGATGGCTTATACATCTACAAAATATCTAGCTTTGTCAGTTATGAAGCTAACCGTCACCTTTTGTACTTTTCATACTGAAGATTTAGTGCACGATAGCTAACCTTAGTGACTTTCTAGGCTTTTGGCATTGCTGTTTGTGTGGCGTTAAGTGGTCACCTGGCAGCACTCCGATGCTTTAGTGTCTTGACACAGATTACTCTTGCAGGGATGAAGCCAATGTACGCCGTATGCATACTGCAGTGAAACTGAACGAAGTGATTGTAAACAAATCGCATGACTCCAAGTTAGTAATCATCAACCTACCTGGACCACCGAGGATCCAGAGAGGAGAGGAGAACTGTATCCTTTGTGAAATTTAAGCTACTTTCTTTTTCTGTCTTAGTACATACACTATGCTAATTTCTAACAAACAGTTCAAGTATAAAGGAACCCTAGGAAGTTATCAGAACCATATGTAGTCACAGAAACAGGTTCTGTAGAGTGAATAAAATTGATTTATTGATATGTGGGGTGTAATGTCCCAAAACCACCATATAATTATGAGATACGCCGTAGTGGGGGGCTCCGGAAATTTCGACCACCTGGAGTCCTTTAACGTGGACCCAAATCTGAGCACATGGGCCTACAACATTTCCGCCTACATCGGAAATGCAGCTGCCGCAGCCCGGATTCGATCCTGGAACCTGCGGAGAGTGAATAGAATAGGAACCAAGAATATATGACATATAAACCAGGAACATATAAAGTAAAATAAGTAAGAGGAATTCATCTGGGAACAACTAAGGTACCATATGAGTGTTGCTAGTAATTCAGAATAATTTTACAAAACATTCACAGGAATTTGAGCTATTCCGTTGTGGTTTCAAAGTGTCTGCCAAACAAAAAAATAATTCACCAAAAAATAGAAAACATATATACTATATGATTTTGAAGGAAAATGGGTTTTATTACTTGTTTATTATTTACATCTGAAATTTTAACTTGACTACAGGATGTTTTTCTGGTCCTGTGCAAGTACAGGTATACATGGTTCTTAGTAAATGCATGATCAAACAAAAAAAAAACCTCTTGTACTTTATATGCTTCCAAAGACACATCAAGCCATTTATTACCAATGTGCTGGTATTCATTACAGTAGGTGCTACCACAGTTAAGCAATACCTTTTGCTTGGCTCAACTTCTTGTAGGCTTATGTATAGATGGCATTGCCAAAATATAGGTAGATGAGAAGAGAGAAAACACCCGTGTGTCAAATTCAGGGTGTGCCAGTTCACATTGTTATGGTAACTTAATAAAAAATAGCCTCAATATTTCTAGCTTTCTGTCTTATCAGTTATCAACAGTTATCAACAAGTTATCAGCAGAACCTTCTGTGTTGTGTTACAGTTGCATTAGCTGAAAAAGTAAGCACTTCACTGAACTTTTGTGTAGTAATTGCTATTCATCAGTTTTTCTCACAGACATATTCGTCCTTTGCTAAACAGGGTTGTCAATTCTAAATATCCTATATAATAGATCGTCACATGCTGGAGGTGTAAAGGCCAGTATGAACCTTATTGGTATTTTTTTTTTCATTTCTAAAAAAAACAATATTGATTTTCTGCAGTTTTCTTGGTAAGATCTGATCAATTTACACTTTTTTTTAAGTGTATGCGGTGTTCTGGTCCTTGACCAATTCTGTCATTAGACATGGAGTTTCTGGAGGTGCTCACAGAAGGTCTCGAGCGTGTGCTCATGGTTCGTGGTGGAGGCCGTGAAGTGATTACCATCTACTCATGAGCTGACGGCACCCTCTGCGGAGTTGCACTCACTGTCATACTGCGTTATTTAATATTCTTTTCATTTTTTAGAGCATCTTGATGAGTTAAGTAAAACACCCTCTTACAATGTGGTTTTAGGACAAGAGTCAAACGTTGTGGCAAGCCTGTTGATGTCAGAAACATTACAACAACTTGTGACAAATATACTAAAAACATACTAAAAACTTGTTTAATGAGTAACTTTACCAACCTCTGATTAAGGCTATTATATAAAGTGAAGTACCACTCGGAATGCAATGCAACCATTACACGAGCTTTCTGTCAGCAGAAGTATGATGGAGCAGAATAAACTGTGTGATGAACTGCATAGTTTATAATGAAGGACAGTTTTTTTTTTCACATTGATATCTGTAATTTGTTATTTTGGAAGGGCATTTATAGGCACCAATATTAATTTCAAAGAGTTGCTCTTGCTGCTTCTTGACAGGTCAAGTTTAACTGCAGCCATTGTTCTCGAAATTAGGGGTATATGCTAACTGTGGTCAATTTTTTCCACACCCACAAAAAATATATCTAAATTTGACAAATTTATTTTTTCTTTTGTTTTTAGCTCATCAAATTGAAGACAGCAGGCCTCTTTCTGAATTTATCTGCAAGTGCTGAAAGCTCTTTAACTTGCATCTCTTGCCTTGTGATAATATGTGTGCGTGTACATGCATATGTGCCCAAAGCCAGTCACTGCAGTTTTTAGTCAAGGACCCCTGATGTGCCACCCAAAAGTTGTGATCAATCATAAGAGCTTAGCGACTTAGACAGTGATAGTGATGATATTGATGCGACTGTTTTATTAATGATAATATTATTATTGTTGTTGTCTTAGGGGTTGACCTCATGGAAAGCGCACAGCTAGCAAATATCTGGGCCTTCAAAGCTCAGGGCACTGTATGCCGACATTTATGGATCTCATTGCGGGATTCGCAAACCATACAGATGCAGTACTGCCACAAAGCTCGACGTCTTGTGCACTCTCTTAGTGGTTAAAGCTGCTTAGCGTGGTAAACAGCTGCAGCGTGATCTTTTGAAGGCAAGATTGCTCTTTATCTGTTTCTTTCAAGGTGTTATAACATGCGCACAAAGATCTGGCAAAATTGTTGCATTTTCCTTCTTCTTTTTAGTGCATCATTGTAGCTTTACATTGCATATTATTAAGCAACAGTGCATTTTATTTTTAAGTATATCATACTCGCGAATGCTTGTGACTCAATGATGCAAAAAAGAATGATCATGTGAAAAAATGCTAGTTGCATTCCCAAGTGCGTTTGTGATGTTATTTGTTTGTTTGTTCTGTTCCTCACTGCAGCACCGCATATTTTTTCTTGTGCTCATTGCTTCTGCTCTGTTTCTGCGTATTTCCTTGTCTGCAAAGCATAAGGTCATTTAGTATTGCCATTAATAATTATTACAGTAAATATGTGCTTGACCACTGAATTGTCCTTTAGTGTGCAATTTTGAATGACTGCATACTCATAGAGATCATTTGGTGGGTTCGGTGTATTAAATCTAGCTGTAACTGGTTTCACTAGCATTTGCACATGTGAACAACTCTTAAGAGTATCACTGTGAAATCACCGGGTGACTTGGTATGTTTCACAAAACGAACCAGACTTACCCATAGGTTATATTGCAAAATGTGAATAAAGCAGCAGCATTTGAAACTGATGCTGTAGGCCAGTCTAATTGTACTCTGCCTTTCGTTTGCTCCTGTACACTTTTCTTGCAGTGTCCTCTTTGTGAGCCTTATTATCGAGGATCTATGGTGGCTTTTAATACCTTTGCATAGATTTTGCATGGTCTTTGCAGAATGTAGTTGTGTAGAAGCTGGGAGATCTTTGTGTATAATATGTACCGCAAACAAACCCATAGTACCTTGTAGCCATATGTACACATGTGACAATCCTCCCAGCAGCGTTTCTTTTGTCTGCAAGGCTTAACAAAACGACTGCACTTAGCAACAAAACGAACCAAAGACAATGTTGTCTTAAGATATCGGTTAGCTTGAAGTGCTTTGGAGTGGCTCAGGGCTCTTTTTCTTTTTCCTGGCTGTTCTTTACAATGTTGCAATAAGTAATGCCTGGTGACTTCAAGCCACATGAATGAATGCATCTTAGCTCTTTAGTTTGTGCTGTATTTATCTGTGCTGTAAGAGTAGTGTGTTTATTTATGCATGCAAGAATGGTATGAATTTAAACTAACATGTTGAGAGAGTTTGCTCATGTCTTTATCATTATGCAGTAACTTGTTTGTCTGCTTGTATACACTTTAAATACACTAACTTGGTGTTTTAAGCAGTACCTTTTTCAGAAATGCATTTATTTAGACTAACTTGCTCATGTTATTTTCTTGTAAATCAATTATTTTTGCTTTACGATGAGGTTTGCAGCAGTTAGGCATCTGAGCTGTGCATTTCAACATTTAGAATTGTTTCATTGTAATATAATCCTCTTTTTCTTTGTCAAGCATATAGGCTACACTTTAACAATGTAAGCTTGCCGCTGGGGTAAACTTCTTTGGAAATATGGTCTGTTGTCTTGATGATGGAGCACATTACAAGATAGAAATAAATGTCTTGAAATCGGCCTTATAAAAAACAACTAAAAAACAGAATGATCATAACGGAATGATGAGCTTTGCCAACTGAACAAATGCAGTGGCACTTTCAGGAGATGCATAGTGATGCCATTGTTTGACAAATATAAATCAAGGCAAACACTGAAGGTTCACTTTCCTACTTTTAAATTTGCTATTTGTGGCATACTTTCTTCCTGCTTCAACATTACCAGACTAATACCGTGTGCTGCAGCCTGAATTGTGTCAGCATTCTCGTGCTGTAGCCAGGTCTGTAGCTGTCCTTGATGCATGTGATGTTTGCCAGTTGGCATGTGTTTCCTAGTCGGGTAATAGTAGCAGTTGGTGAAGGGCTTTTAGGGGAAGCAACACCAAAGGTGGCCACATACAGGAAAGTGGTTAATATGGTGGTGGGCCTGACAGCTAGTTGTAAGTAAAAAGAAAAAAAAAACTAGGATTAATATGAGGCAGTGGGCCTGTTGGATGTGTTTCCCCCTGCATAGCTCAATATTGACTGTTACAAATATACGAATGTTAGAAAAGCGCTGACTGTATTTTTGTATGTACATACTCTTTTCCCTGACCTTCCAGATGTGAAAACGTAAAAATGACATGCATTTATGTGACAACTTGCGTATTTTGTGTGGACACTAGCCTAGGCAATTGGTGTATGAATATTATCTTTAAGAGTACTTAGGTCATGCAGCTAAATGTTCATTCCTGTGCAGCATTGTCGTTCGGTGTCTCTGGTTTATGTCTGGTTAGCTGCTATGTTTACTATGGACAATTAACTTCCACTCATGGTGTGAAGTATAGCCATCAGCAAGATATGCAATTTGTTGATCTTGGCCTGCGTTCAGTCATGAGGTGCAACTGCAGTAACCCAGTGGCTTTATCCTTCCACTTCCTTGCAGCACTTTTCATATGGCATTTCACAATCACTGTCATTTTTCCTGGAATTTGCCTTTAATGTCAGTGATGAGTAACTTGAGGTGGCTCCAAGCACTCGGCTCACAAGCAGCAAAGTATAAATGCCTATAACACTGGCATGTGTGAGCATAGCTCTCAGTTTAATTGGAATTCTTACTTTGTGCAGAAAAGCATAGCCCAAGTCATCACTTGTATTTTCTCACTTGCCTGGTTTCTGTCAAGCTACCTTGCTCTTGGCCTGTTCGAAGACCGTTCTGTAAGCTTTTATATGTACAGATGTCTGTGTAATGCTACTCTGTCACAGATTTGTACAACTGTAGATTGCACAAGCTGTTTTCATTTCTAGCTTCTTTAAACATATAAAGTGCAGTGTGTCTAAACTCATAACTTAACATACACACCTACACACATATACACACACACACATACTCTCTGTAAGATGGCATATTTATTCCTTTTGATGTGATACTGAAAGGAGCAAAGGCAAGAGTTGCCAATGCTGGAAAGTGCAAGGACATTTGCAAGATAAGTCTATCCACTGCTGCCATTTTCCGAGTACTATTCACTCATTGCTAGATTTTCTGTTTTAAGTTACCAGTTCTTTGATCCAATTGTGTATCATCATATGTGTGTCTGTGAGGCCAAAACAGCATGCACAGTCACCTGTTGTTCATTTTGGTTGAGGCAACTTTGAAATGCAGCTATCTCCATGTTCATATTAGCAGTTCCGCAAAGCTATATTTATTTGTTGAGCACCTGCATTTCAAAAAAATGTGTGTGTGCCTTTCATCTTAAAACACATAGCTGCTGTGAGGCATTTTCAATGGGCATTCATTTCTTTGGTGTATTATTCTTGTTACCCTATTCAGCAATGTAGTCTTAAAAAGTGTAATGGGTGCATACATATAGACATATATGCTTCATTCCTGTTGCATCTAAGATTCAGCCGGTCCAGTTTAACAGAAGTTTGTCATCATCACAACAAATTAAATTGGAAAAGAAACTGCTAATAAGGGAACAATTTGGTGCAGTATAAATTCAGAACAGTGCAAATCAGTCATAACACATAAGCATGTTATCAACACTTAATAGCAGTAGCGTGATTTCTGAAGAATTTATGTAATAAGAATTAATAATGTTATAATCTTAGTTGTTGTATAAATGCAGTTATTATGCATCATTATTAGTTGCCTGCCATGAATTAACAATGTCAGGTAAGTGTGCACACATGCTAAAATATAGAGTTTGAATTAACTTTCATGCCCAGGGCATATATTACTGTGTGCCATTTGCCAGGCACAACACTGCTACTTGCTCATTTTCTATGCTGTAGCTGTTTGAAACTAACATAAAGAGTTTATATATATATATATATATATATATATATATATATATATATATATATATATATATATATATATATATATTTATATATATATATATATATATATATATATATATATATATATATCCCACCACATTTTACACATCTGCTATCACTTCAGTGTAGATTAATTCTGTTATCAGATTGTCTAAATTTTGAGGCTACACACTAGCAAAGCCCAAGTAAATAGTAGCTTTAGCCTGTGCAACTTACAAATTAGGTGATATCAGTGGTGGTGCAGTGGTACTTTGGGTGCATTTAACAATGTCACTCTTCCAGTAAGGCTCATTTCCTCTTGAGGAATCTCACAAATGTAATGGTCCACTTGCTTCTTGGCTCAGCATATTTGATGTCTTGTTATAGCAGAAAAGGCGAAACACTGGAAGGGAATGGCACCATTTATAAGGCATACTTACTTGCTTTGTCATAAGTAAGCGAAAAATGGGAAGCTTGAGTGATTTGAAATATCTGCATAACGGGAGGGCCTTTTGAGTACACCTAAGCACTTCTGGGGCAGACAAAACAAGTTTCAGTATACCCGTGCAACATACAACAGGGGATGCGTACCATAGGTAAAATTGTGCAGGTGCTCATTAGATCACTACCTGGACCTTTTTAGCGGTGCAGCCTGATGATTAAGTTTCACCATGGTCTACCTGTCATCGTGTATTCAATGTCCACTAGTCGTGCAATTTGCTTTCGACATGCTGTTTGAGCGACTATAATTGCTAACAGAAAAAAAAAAGGTTGATGAGATATAGTGCCATCATTTTGCTCATCCTGCGCCTCTTCCAAGAGCACACTAACGAGCCAGCCTATGCAATGTCAATGCAATCACGTATGTGAGATCACTGTCCTCGAGATGTTTTTTTTTTGTAGGTGCAAGAGTTCAGTTTTATAAGTCAAGATGCTGATTTTGTCTAAATTTCGGAAGTAGGCAATGATGAAAAATTGCTGTGCTTGGCACTGTTATAATTGGGGGATCGCTGCATGTGCACAATGTACAGCCATTCATGTAAAGCATTTGTGCAATGCAAGTGCAGTAAGGTCACAACAGTGCAGGCAATTGGCTTAAGCATTGTGGGTTCATCAGGGCTGCCAGCCTAAATTTTTTTTTCATGCTAAGACAGGACAATGTCTCTTACAACATGCTGCACCATGAATTGTAATGAATTCATACCTGTAACAAGACCTGTTCCTTGCATGGGCTTTTTGTAATGCTATCCCATGGCAACAACCGGATGGATTGAGCTGGATGGCTTGTTGTGTGCTGTTGTCGATGTCTGTTTTTTTTTTTTTTTCCTTCTTCTGGTGAGCAACCTGGAAGTCAACAGTGGTGGTGCAGTTGATTACAAGATCACAGAAGCAAAAAGAACTGGCGTAGTAATCTACTGCCCTTGTGTTGGTGTTTAGCGCTATGAGAAAAAAAAAATGCTTAAAAACTTGTTGCTCGATGTTTACTGTAGTTTATCATCTCTGTTTAGATCAACTATTTATATAGTACTTTCCTTACTTGTATAAGTACTATAACTGTACCTTTCCAGTGCTGATAAGTGTTGATGCTTGGCTAGCAACACATATGTGGTGATGAGCTGATCAGAAGCACGCTGTTTCTGTTTGGCTATTACTATGGTACTCAAAGGCATTGTGCATTCATGTGTGACACAAGGGGAAAGTACAGTTCGAATAAAGACATGTCGCTCTATATGCATATGTTTATTAACCATGTAGCAAACAAGAGAAGAACACTCATATAGATGAGCCTTTTTTTTTTTCCTTATGCCGCCAACATACTGTTTATGGCAGTTAGAAAGAGGCACAAGAGAGTGGGTAGATAGCATTTTGCTGAGAAAGCAAATAATACAATATGTACAAACGTGCATCGATTCATCGGTGCTTAGTATTGTTGAAATAGGCACCACAATCAGAACCATTTTAAGGGACTTGATTGGAGCACTCACTACCCAACCAGCACACTTGCATGCTCAGTGGCATACTTGAAAAATAAAAAGCACGAAAAAAATGTGCTATGCACTGAATATGGGATGTGCTGATGGTTTATTTCACCACTCTCTAGAAGGAATAGACTCATTTCACCATTCACATCTACAACTGTTGTTGTCCCCATGGCTAGAAACAATTTCTGGCGATGAGCACACATTGTATGCAATGAATGGTTGCTTAGCTAGAATATGTGCTGTAGAATGACATAATTGGCACCACGAAGGTTACAAAACAGTTATAAAACTCTTCTTCATAAAATATGTCCCCAATACAATTCGACAGCAGCTCTATTTAAAAATAATTATTCAGCCATGCACACTTGTAGCAGCAACTAACAGCTTAATGGTGCAAAAATTGAACTCTCTATTGCTATCACACATTGACGCAACCTGTGCATCTTGGCTGACCATATACATTTCTCTGAAGCAATGCTGGAGGCCAAGCTTCTTAAAAGTAAGGTTTGTTGATATGTACCTAGCACGTATTTACATACATTACAGGTGGTTTTATAGACTGTTCTGAAGCCACTAAACCAACACACCTCCTGCCACGGAGAGTTTTGGAGGTACTTTTATAGGTATCGGGCAAGCTCTGCCCATCTACTGCAGTGGTATGTGAATGCCTGTGTGCATTATATCAACATCTTCAGCAGGCAGTACTGAATGCCTGATTAGCCCTTTTTGCTGGTCAAGCGTTCACCACCATTCACAAATGGAACAGTGCATGATGGTTCATGCTAAGCAGAGCCATTTGCATTGTACAGAATGGTGAATCGAGTGTGTTTTATTGTCAATTGAAAAGAGAGTTAAGAGAGTAGAAAGAATGTGTGGCAACTGTTTTAAAGTAGTTCCTTATGCCTTGGCAATGTGATGCCACATGTGGGGCAACCATTATAATTCACCTTTTTTTATTTTGTTTTTCACACCAGCAGCAACAGGATGTTGATGGCGATTGTAATAGCTTAATATCTTCTGTTCTGAGCTGTACCTTGTTTGTGTGCTGTTTTCCATCGATGTCTCGATCTTCCATTTGTTTTCGTTATGTGAAAAGTTTATCAGAGGAATAATAAAGGACATCTTGTTAACCTTTCTTGCCCTGTGGTCTTAGTATTTTGTATGCACCTATATGGCTGTATGGCTGTATTATCTGCAGCATGTCCGTTTAAAAAACTAGCTGGGAATTCAACAGAGTAGAGGTTTAAGTTGTCTAACCCATTGAGTTTCTTAAATGTACACTAGAAGGAACTCTGGCACTAGTGTCTATGGGAGTGGCAGCGTCTGGCACTTCAGCCAGCATGGGAATTATGGGTAGTACATGTATTTGACTAGTCTTCGTACTTTATGGTCCTTCTGGGTTCACGTGGCTTGAAGCTGATTTGTCACGAAACAACAATCGGCAAATGTTCGGCAATTACGCTTCACTACCTTCACCTTTTAAGATCACCATTTCAAATCAGCTCGCGAAGTTCAAAAAGGTTTGTTCTTTTATTCGAAACAAAACCAAAACGCAGCAATAAATGAAGCCACAAGTGTGATTTGCAAACTGCAAGCGCAAAGACTAGGCAAATCCGTGTCATACCCATAATTCTCATGGTCGCTGAATGAACGCAGCGTCAAAGTCCCCTCTAGTTAATTTGCGGAAACTCTATGGTTTAACTCCCGACTGCCTGGTAGAGTCACTCCTCCCAGCCAAAAGGGAAAGCTACGCCTCTGCAACCGGAAGTTTACTGCAACCAAAGTTCATTTTGGTATAGACCCAGTGAACTGTGTTTTTGACAAAGCCAGGCTGTGCATTGACTAATAATGCCAATGTGGCCATAGCAAGAGGACCCTTCAGCCAAGATTAAGATTCCAAAAAAAATTTACTGCTCTATTTGTCAATGCATAAAATGAGTCTTGTTGGGCAGACACATAATAAAGTGAACAAGGAGAAAAAGCTTTGGGAAAAAAGCCAATATATGCATTAAAGTGGTACATGTTTCAGTCCTTGCTTTTTTTTTCTTATACATTGTTTGCCTCATTTATTTTCAGGCTTATGGCACAGAGCTAATACTGTATATCTCGGCTTCAGTCAACTCATTTGCT